CAGGAAGTAAAACTCGTTTATCAACTTCCTCTTTCGACAACACCAAAAACTATCACACTCATAAATGTATTAATGTATATATAAAGAACAAAAACTTCCTCAGCAGACTGGGAATACAATGCAAATAATAGCATTTGTATCATTTTGATAATTAAAAAAAGACAAAATTATAATGTACAGGGAAAAAAAAATCATTATGCTGTAAATGACTATTCCCGAACAATTTAACTGTGGTCTCTTCATATTTAGTATTATTATGTTGATTATCACATTAACTCTTCCTTTATAGTATATACCACTTTTGGAAGCAAAATGGACTTAGCCCCTGTGTTTTTTACCTTATAACACAAAACTGGCCTAACAACAACAGTGCAGTAAACATTAAGGTATTGAGCCACTATGGTTACCTGGGACACCTTACTTTTCCAGATACAGTCAAACCTCATTATCTTAAACTCAATGGGACTGAGAAAAAACTTTGGGATATCCAAGGATTCCAGATATCGGGGGTAAAATACTTAAAGAATAAGTGCATGGGACTTCCAAATCAGTTCGACATATACATGGTATTTGAGATACCAAAGTTCAACTATTACATATTTGAATAGTTCTCAAATCTAAATCTGGGACAGGGACAGGTGAAAAATAAGGGAACCATGGGGCATAACATATTTCACCCAAATCACTTTTCTCTTCCTGATATGTGAGTATGCAGATATCTGAAACCCCTTACTAATATGTCCCAAAAAACTAATCCAAGTCCTATTTTTTAACAGTTTTGGCAATTGAAATTGCTTCTTGATAGTTATATAGGGTTTTTTTTGTGTAAGTTACATCCTCTGGAAAGCCTCATAGTGGTACACATCATAATGTGTGACATATTATTTATAAAGAACAACCACCTGATTAAGTTCTTGCCAAAATGACATAAAATACAAAGGGGAAATTCTTTGATGGTTGTCATCATGGTCATGAAATGGACAGTGCATGTCTGTAATTTTAGTCAATTATGATTTAAGTATGACTATGTTTATGGTATTACAACATGTGTATACACCACATCTTGAGTACAATTTGGTTAAAATCTTGGTACTAAATTTTTTTTCTGTATAAATTTTACAACTCAACATGCCCAAAATCACATAACTATTTACTAATGATTCATGTTTTTTCCTCATCCAGTAATTTTAGTTGAAAAAAAAAATTGTGCCCCCCTTGTTTCTTTTATCATCTCTAAAGGAGACATGTAATGTTGTTAACTCAGATCTCCTTGAAAAATCATGCTTATTTTTATGTTAAATTTTAGTTTTCAGATGATGAAGTCAAAATAGAGGAAAACAATGTTTGCAATAAGGAAGCCATCTACAGTGTGCCTATAATTTTAGTCTCCATGTACATTTAAAGCAATGTGAGCTGCATTTTTGAGAATGCTGTAAACAATGTTCTATGATGTTAATTCTGCAGCTTCTAAGTAGTTTTTTATTTTTATTTTTACATGAATAACAGAAGTTTATAAACTTCAATTGTAAATTATAACTTAATAACAAAACATTCTGACAAGTACATTGCAGCTCATACTGCATTAACTTTGTTTATTTGTTTTGTTTACATTCCAACTGATGGTGGAAAGTCTGTAAATTTAGACCTGCATGTAGTCAGCACTTGTGGTCACTGAGCAGTGGGGATCTTTTATTTGTGTCAGCACATACTGTGACACATGACCTTGGTTTATACAGTCTAATCTAAAAGACCTGTCTCTACGTCCCACAGTGGGATTCGAACCGGTGACTTATGAATCAACTCCTTTCTCTGCTACTCTAGAACAGATTACTCTTAACACTGCACCAGTCCGACCACATTGGTGACTGCTTTAACTTTGAAACAGAACTAAATTTGAAAAACAAAGGAAAGGATAATTATAAATTACACAGATACATGTCCATAAGGAAACACCAATATCAGTATTAACTGAAATTGGCATACCGGTATATATTCTTTCTTCACAGTAACAACATAGGCATCATCCTCTCTTTGTTACAGAAGCAATATCTGAGGCAAAAATTCTCATTACTTTAATCATGTTAATCATAATGTGTTAAAAATTGAGGGTGCACTATTTCAGAGTACTTATATGCTTCTTATTTGCAAAATTTAAACTGAGTCAAAAAAAACCCTTTTGTGACAGATAATTCTATTAAGGTAGCTTTTACAGTATGGCAAAAAGGAACAAATACATGTGTCACACATTTGAAATTTGAAATGTGGGAAGTGAAAAACCTTCAATAAATATTGGTCATCTCAAAGTTTTGAGGTTCAAATTTTGAAAAATGTCCCACATGAAAAGACAGAAGATGGACAGGCAGAAATTTATTACGAAAGCCTACTTGCATAAATGTAACACAAATGTATGTTTAAACTATCCGACACCATGTACAATGAGGCCACTTAAACTATTTACAAACTGCACCTAGGAGTCAAGTTACTGAGAGCTTTATGTACTTCCCTATTTGTAGGGATAATTATCATTCAATTTTCCTAGCACTGATATGTAGACACTACAGCATGTACAAGGATCTGATACACCAGCCATTCTGTAACAGCTGACGAGTTTTCACTTTAAATGATGCAGCATTAAGTTTATTTAATAAACACTCCAAAATATCATACTGTTTATAATACTTTAAATACACATTTTTAAAATTTGTTTTAGTGATATTTTCTGAAGAAGAAAAAAAAGATTTAAAAAAGGGAAAATATTGTTTTTTCACATTGAAATAAAAATGCTAATCAGGGTTGCAAAAAACCACTCGCCCACTAGCAAATGCTAGTAATTTTGGCTGTGGGGGAGCAACTCTTAGAAGATGTAATTGCTCACATGGTGAGTAACAACTTTATCAGTACTTTTCCAAAACCTGACATACTTTGATTCTACAATTAAATTTTCACTGTTTCCTACCTACAAAATGTTTTCTAGACCCTGAATCTCCTTAACATCATCATTTTGTGAGGTTCTCAAATGAAGAAAAGATCAAATTTCATGCAATTTCATTCATTCATGGTGTCAAAATCATCAGGGAAATGAATGACTGTGAACAGCAAAGTATATTTCTTAGAGATTAAAATACAAAAAGACTGAGAATTTCTTATGAGGTGGAGAGAAAATTGTTGACCCTAAAATATCAATGTGGGCTGGTAAAATGTGTAAAGTTCGGGGCCCACATGGCTCCTAAAATTAAAAATGTTATTTGCATCTATTATAATAGTAAACTCACCATCTAATTCCTCGCTTATGTGAACAGTGTCTCCAATATTTAAATCTAGTCGGTGTGGCAGTCTAGAATGGAAGTTGTAGAGAACTGAAATAAAAATAGAATTATCTTAATTTCTTTCTGGTTTTATCATTTTTTTTAAATTCTTACAATTCTTCAAAGACCCTTAAATAGAGAGCTCAAAGGACTATGGCTGATATTAAAGGTTTAACATGTTTTTCATTTTTATAATTGTCAAAATTGAAAATTAAGGTACAACTAAGTATATATCATATACAAGATAAACAATATTATGTAAATTTAAGAAATTATATTAAGTACATACTGAATACACAATGACAAAAAAATTACATGTAGATTTAAAAAAAAAAAAACAGAGGTCAATAAATACATGAAAAAATAAGTGATACCCACATTCTTTTGTTTAAAGGTTTTGGTCATTTTATAAATCAGTCTGTAGAATTACTCAGCCAATGGAAAGATTTCACATGTCATCACTTGACAATTATTAATACAATATATGCAAGTAAGATCTACATGTACTTTATATGAAGCTGTTTCAACTTGATCCTTCATCTCTAAAATGTAGGTCACATGCAAAATCTGCAGCTTGAATGATCATATACATGATATATACTACAGACGGCATTATCTATGCAATTTCAATTGATCAATGTTGGTCATAGTCAAATAAAAATGAATCTGCCGATACAAACATCCACTGCAAAACAAGCATGTACTATCATAATTAAATGTAAATCATGTTTATTTAATTAAAACAACACTTTAAAATACTCCTTGCAACAGATGCCATGACCTTTGACCACTATAATCCCAAAAGCTATCATTTTAGCAAGAGACCCATTATACTGTCAATGTACAGGTCTCTGTTGCAGCAAAATTTGCATCAGATTGATCCCAGGTAATTATGATTGAACATGGCCACCCTATCCAAAACTATTCCATTTCAGTGTATAAAGGAGTAGTTTTGGATATGATAAAGCAAAAGGGATGGATAAACAAATCAATTTCAACCATATGATTTGCCTTCCAAACAAAAGTTCATGTGATGCATATATATTATTTTATGATAGAGGGGGTAAAGAAACCATATGTTTAGGAATATTTCTTAATGATAAATATTCAGCTAATAATAATAGAAAGGGAAAACTGACAAGGGAAAGGAGACTACACTGTCCTTACAGCCTAATTACTTGTAATTAAGTTACTTTTCATTCACCCCCATAAATCTAGCTTCATGTACACATCTCAATAAATAATGTTTAATTTAAATTAAAACATTATATTTACGAAGCCCATCCACTACTTTAACAGACAATTCACTTCCTTTCCTGCATTTTAATGAGCTTGTGTGGCTGATTAGTCATTGGCATTTTTTATTTGATAGTGATGATGGTGCTTCCTATTAAACATGTTATGAACATATTATTTCTCCACTTCCTCATTTATTTTCCACACATTTAAACATTTTATAAGTATCAGAGATTGGAGACTTGTGACTTACCAACTCCATATTTTTGACTTCTGTCCGTTTTTTGCCACATTGCACTTGCTAATTATCCAGAGTCTACATAATTGATAAATTTAAAGTGATGCACATCCTCTGTCTCCAATCAGTCAGAGATGACGGCCATCTGGGTCACGTGGGATTTGTATTTCCGGATTACGCGCACGCAGCTGTATCTATGGATAAACAATATGGAGGTCTAGGTGCCGCGATATTCTGTTTTAATTGTCGATTCCCTACATTTATGTTTAATAGTAAGTCGTTCAGGCTATGTTTAAAGTTATGAGTATGTTTTATAAAATGTATATTTGTTTCCGGAAAAAAATGACAAGTCGAGGAGTAATTATTTTTACTTTTAATTGGATTTTTTCAGATAACGAGAGTAGAAAATAAACAAACATGTCTCGAGCTCAAGCGGAGAGTGTGATTAAAAACATCATCAGGGAAATTGCACAGGAATGTGCTAGTAAGGGACAAGCTGTATCTGAAACTCTGGTTGCTTTTATGGTAAGTCAAGTGCCGATACAAATTTATTGTATTGGACTTAAATTAACAGCTTTAAGACTATACTGTGATTGAATTTGTTTGTTTTTTAAAAGTTTTATTCAAAATGAGGATCTCTGAGCTTGATATTTTCAAATTCACAGGTTAAGGCTGTTGTTTTGGATCCATCAAATGAATTTAATGTAGACAGAACTCTAACTAAGGATGATGTCCAAAAGCTTATCAAGGTAATCTTATGGAATTATGAACATTGTTTCCCTTTTCTGCATAATGATCAATAATGTTTGCAGAATTATTATATATATACTTTGCTTGAATTGATAAAAATTATGTTTGGACCATCATTAAAAAATGTTTTGTTTGATAAACTCGAGCTCTGACCCATATGTTTCTGGGTGGGTAGGACAGCTATTTTGATATCTAACACAGTAATCCTCATAAAAATCAAGACTTGGGCTGATGGTCAGGCATAAAGGTCGAAAACCGGCTATGTCTATGCTTTATTCATATACCATATATATGGGGGTTATTTCTGCAATATGCAGATAATGCACTGCTAGTATTGATTAATCAGTACAGCAGTACATTATCTGGATATTATGGAAATAACCAATGCATATGGTGTAATTATGCATCTAATTCACTGCGCAAAATTAACAATGGTTACTATAAATAGAATGGCTTTGCAAAGTTTTGTTTATAAATAAACTATTTTCAGAACTTCATATATTTTTTTCAATTCTGCAATGTATTATTCACACTTAATTATTTAATATATATACATGTATCTTTGTTTTTTTTCTTTAAATTAAATTTCTTAATTTCTTTCTTTCAGCTATGTGTTGACAGACTTATGGACAGTAGATCACCTGCTTTGGAAACTGTCAAAATGCAGGTGTATTTTGATATGAACTACACAACACGATGTAAGTTTTTAAAAAACAATTCTGATAAAGATCTGATGCTTTTTATTGATCTATTTTATCTATTAAAGTACAAAAATAAGTATATTTAACCTTTACATTTTCAGCTGATTTTTTGGAGGAACATCGGAGAGTCTTAGAGTCTCGGTTACAGCCTGTTATAAGAGAAATAACTGATAGTAGAGCCAGAACCAGAGAGGAGTTAGAAAGTTTATACCGGAAGATAGTGTCTGCCGTATTACTAAGGTCGGGATTAGGCAGTCCTACAGACATAGCTGTTGTCAGGGAAGCTACAGGTATAAGGTCAAGGTCATCAGAGGCCACACATTTTTTCAAGCCATAAAATTCATGCACAATACAGGAAAAATGCTTTGCAAGAACCAGGAGTTTGCAGAGAATTCAAATTTTAAAAATGACTCTCTACAAGATTGCATCTTCGCTAACCAAGGGTGTTATATCTGCTCCTTGTCTCTTAAAAAGAGAGGAGGAATGGATCATCATCCTTGGCTAGCGAAGATGGAATATAGCCAATTATCAAATATGATGTCAGCCAAGTTCATTAAATACATGTAGATATCTTTTGAAGCAACATATTGTTTGAAATAATGTTGATTTTTTGCTTGACATTTATTTTATCAGTTCTTTTCAATTGTGCATGTGTACTAAAGTATTATCATATCGCGTCAATAGAAAATGGTCCCATTTAGCAAAATTCAGATACTATGTTATTTTACTTGCACAAGAATGAGTATAATATATAACCTAATATGTATTATAAAATAAAAGGGGAAATTAGGATCAAGGAATATCAATTAAGACACCTTTTAAGCAAAAATGCTAAAATGTCAGTGACCTTAAATTAGCATGCACTCTCAACATAAAACTATTTAATACATGTACTTGGCAAAAATTATAGGTGGAATTAAAAGTAGAAAACTTGAATAAAATTTAGCTTGACAATAAAGATTTAATTGTCCCTCTACCTGCAGCTTACTCTTTAGAAATTTTCCCCATGCTAATTTTAAAGTTTTAAAATCAGTACAGAAACTTATAGTCTCAATGGTGCACAGGTCAGAGTAGTAGTTTTAATAACAAAACCATTTTATTGCAATATAACATTGTATTTAGTTGGGGTTTAACATGGTTCATATAAACAGCTTTACTTACACACTATGTACATGCTAATGATCTGTCTGAAATGTCAGTATTCTGGTGAGAATGTATGTAGCATGCACAAAATTTGGTAAGGCAACAATTCAAAATATCACACAAAGAGTAAAGTAAAAATCAATGTTCATTAATTTTATTGTATTGTATACACTCATTTGCATGCAATGGATTATGAATGGATAGATTTGAATTAAAAAACTGTTCTGATGGTCTATTTAATAGTCAGAAAATAGTATTAAGTATTGTAAATTAAATGTAGTGATTCATTTTATACTTACAGTAAAATAGTAAGAAGTATTCTATAACTTGATTGTAGCCGCTCTACAGAGTGTTTTCCCCCAGACAGAACTGGGAACTTTTATGTCACTCACAAAGAGAGACAAGGAAAGACAACTCCTGGAGCTGACGATGATTGTGACAGGAATCAGATTATTCAATAAGGAATGTGGAAAAGGAGGGGAAGGAATTGATGATTGTATGTCTATATAATAATTAATATAGTAAAACATGGTTACAGTGAACTTGCTTATAATGAATTCTTGCATACAGCAAAATGAATATGATTTTTATTCCCTGTAGTTTTAAAAATGTATTTTGAACTTATTATACCCCCCGCAAACGAAGTTGGGGGGAGGGGGGTATATAGGAATCACCTTGTCCGTCTGTCTGTGCAAACGTGTCCGGTCTATATCTTTCTTATGGAGGAACATTAGAATCTCCTACTTCACACAAAGAATGTTCATGACCTGAGGGTGTGTCATGACCTTGACCCAAGGTATTTGGGCAAGTTCAAGGTCACTGAAAGAAAATGTTCATAATTCGTGTCCAGTCCATATCTTTCTTATGGATAAACTTGGTGAGTTCCCATTTTACACAAAGATTGCTTATGACCTGAGGGTGTGTCATGACCTTGACCCAAGGTCATTTGGGCAAGTTCAAGGTCACTGACAGAAAAAGTTTATAATTCATGTCCGGTCTGTATCTTTCTTATGGAGAATAATGTTGGGATGTTGGGAGTTTCCACTTCACACAAAGATTGCTTATGACCTGAGGGTTTGTCATGATCTTGACCTATAGTCACTATAGAAAAAAATGGATAAATAATGCATCCATACTTTCCAACAGAGAAATACTTGAAAAATTGTTATTTATTTTTTCAGTGTAATAAAAAAATGTTATTATAAGTATTGATGTTTTATTAGGCTGCACCGTAGTTTCATTCATTAAAATAAAAAAAAAATTATAATGAGGAATTACCATTAAATTTTCACTCTAAATGTTCAAACAAATTGTGAACACCTCTTAGATCCATCAAATACTAGTATTAGTGACTTGGCACCTTCTCTGAAAATCCTGTGGGGGGTATTTGTCCCTTTTGGACAGTTCTAGTTAGAAACAAATTACATTTTTAACAAATCAAAATTGTTTGTCCCTGGCACTTCACTATAAGTGTGTTTTATTATATCTTTGACTCATTATGTCAGTATCTGCAGTTTTAATCATAAAGGGAAACAACTGTGTTAGCTAGCCAGGCAGTGTAACAGTTTTCTTTATCCATGATCTATAATAGAAGCTATTCAATAACATTATAGTTAATGTCTGTTGAACAGAAAATAAAAAGGTGTAAATGGATAATTATTAAAAAGAATTTGAATTATAACTATTTTACACAGGAAGTTATAGTAAAGTAATTTTGAGATTAGTCTCTCACATTAACTATTTTCTACTATGTACAATTCAGCTGGATTTTGTCTACGGTTGGCAGATTGGAATATTTTTAGTAACAGATTGACTGCTTATTTTTCTGACTGAGTACCCAGTTACTCGGATGGTTGTTATTTTGAGAAGTCCTAATCTTGGTCACAGCATACATGTATATTAAAAAAAAACAACAACAAATATTATTCTATTTTATGTCTAATATAACAATATTGGGGTACTTCGGTTGTCAACACATTTTGTCTTTTCATTTGGTTTATAATACAATTAATACTGCAGAAACCTAATTGTGTTTAGATTAAGGATGAACACAATCTATGACCAAGTGCAAGAAATACTTCAACCAAGCATATACCCATTTAAGGATTAGTAATATTTCTTTCTTTTTACCTTATCTAATAGTACCTGCCATTTTAAATGAAGCTGTCCCTGCCACCACTCAGAATGTGGATGCAGAAATCCAAGCAACTCTAAAATCAGCCAACAAATATACAGGTATACACTGCAAAGTTATAAAGGTACAGCTTAAGCAGGCCTCACACTCCTTGTATTTTGATCTCACCATTTGGACAACCAAATAAATAACATCAGGATGCCTGAACAAATTTTTGATATGAGTCAAAGAGAAAATAAACTCTAAGAGAAATGATTGCATTAATATGTTTTTAATCTTTAAAAAATGTATTCATCTATTTACTAGATTCCAGAATCTACTTAAACACATCAACTTACAGTTTAGAATAACTGATAAAGCACCAGATATATAAGGCAACCAATTTAAGGTTGTTTAAATGAATTAAGGGCAACAAAAACACAAGCACTCTTACAAAGCACGTGCCTGTATATATTAATTAAGTTAATGATCTATATGTATAACAAAGTCAAAATGACAGAGAATGAAATGACTTTCTTTGTGATGTATAGCTCTGATTGAGAAAAGTTTGTCTGGAGACTCCAAGGAGGGGCCATCTTCACAGCTGCTGAAAGAAGCCTTAATAAACACAAGACAACACGAGGCCTTTCTCAGAGTCATCCTGGTATGTATAAATTATTTTCACTGGTCCTTATTCAGGTCTTTAGTAGCTAGCTAGGGCATGAGATCTTGATACCATGGTGTTCTAAATAAATATATAAGCATTAAACATCGCTCTAAGACAAACAGTTAAGTCAATCAGTTAACCAGAGAGATTCATTTATATAAACTTAAATATGTGTATATATGTCATGTCTGCCATTTCTGGCTAAAATAGAGTTAATTTTTTCCCTAGAATTACAAATATGCACTTAATGCATTACCAAGTCAATAAGTTTTACAATACATTGCATGTTGTGGTTATTTGAAATTGTAATGTTACTTTGTGGAGTGTTTGATTGACTGACACAGAATCAGCCTCTGTGTGGACTCTCAATAGCTGTAGACTAAGCAGCCGATCAATTTTCAACTGATAACCTTCTTTCTATGATCATATTTAAAGCATTTTTAACTCTTGGAGAGATCTAAATTTTAAAATTACTTCTAATTGCTGAAGATATGAAATTAATTTTGTGGTTTTCTTATGCCCTCTGTTTACATTCATACTCTGTGGATTTTTTTTTAAGGGAAATAATTATGAACATTTTATTTAACTTGTTCTTTTTGGTCTCCAGAATGATGTCATTAGCTGTGCTCAACAAGTTGAACTGTTAGAACAACAACTGGCATCTAGAATGGAGCAGCTACAGGCCACTGTACAATCTAAAACAGCCGTTCCCACTGCACAAGTCTATGTAAGTTCTGTTTATCATTGGATGGGTAGACATTGCATAAAAGAGAAAGTCGAAAACTCTGTGCTTGCAAATATTAAGTTTTGAATAGCCCAGTACTCTCTCAGGGTATAAATGTCAATATGACATTGCAGTCTTGACTACTCATGGTACAGTAGAATATAATGGATTTCAAATGGTGTATGTAGAACATGTCACTGTAAGAAATGCAAATTAATGCATTTAAAATTTTCATTTTACTCCTTTTAAAATACAAGTATAATGATATACATTTTTTAAATATCATGTCACCTTTCTTTTTGTTCCAGCACCTCACTTTGTCTCTGACAGTAATTATGTATAAATAAACCTTAAATGCATATTAGATTATAAATAATACAGTTGTGTTTGTCTTACAGCCACAATTTATCCATTTATCTCAGTTGTGGAGTGGTTTTCAGGATGAAATGGTTTTACTCAGTGTTCTCAGTAATATCCTGGCTAGTCTGGAACCATATACCAGGGTGAGTAATAATATATCCTAGCCAGTCTGAAACCATTTACCAGAGTTAGTATATCCTGGCTAGTCTGGAACCATATACCAGGGTGAGTATATCCTGGCTAGTCTGAATCTCTATACCAGAGTGAGTATATCCTGGCTACATTTGAACTCTTTACCAGGGTGAGTATATCCTGGCTAGTGTGGAACTCTATACCAGGGTGAGTATATCCTGGCCAGTCTGAAACCATATACCAGGGTGAGTATATCCTGGGTAGTCTTGAACCATATACCAGGATGAGTATATCCTGGCTTGTCTGAACTACATGTATATACCCTGGTGAGTATATTCTGGCTAGTCTGGAACTCTATACCCGGGTGAGTGTATCCTGGCTAGTTTGGAACCATATACCAGGGTGAGTGTATCCTGGCTCATCTGAAACCACATACCAGTATGAGTATATCCTGACTAGTCTGAAACCTTATATGAGGGTGAGTATATCCTGGCTAGTCTGGAACTCTATACCAGAGTGAGTATATCCTGGCTAGTCTGGAACTATATACGAGGATGAGTATATCCTGGCTAGTCTGGAACTCTATACCAGAGTGAGTATATCCTGGCTAGTCTGGAACTATATACGAGGTTGAGTATATCCTGGCTAGTCTGAACTATATACGAGGATGAGTTTATCCTGGCTAGTCTGGAACTCTATACCAGGATGAGTATATTCTGGCTAGTCTGGAACCATATACCAGGGTGAGTATATAGAGGCTAGTCAGAAACTCTATACCAGGGTGAGTATATCCTGGCTAGTCTGAAACCATGTAACAGGGTGTGTATATCTTGGCTAGTCTGAAACTCTATACCAGGGTGAGTATATCCTAGCTAGTCTTGAACCATATACCAGGATGAGTATATACAGGCTAGTCAGAAACTCTATACCAGGGTGAGTATATCCTGGCTAGTCTGGAACCATATACCAGAGTGAGTATATCCTGGTTAGTCTGGAACTCTTTACCAGGGTGAGTATATCCTGGCTTGTCTGAACTTCATGTATATACCCTGGTGAGTATATCCTGGCTAGTCTGGAACCATATACCAGGGTGAGTATATCCTGGCTAGTCTGGAACCATATACAAAAGGGGGGGGGGGGTATTTCCTGGCAAGTCTAAACTATGTATCAGGGTGACTATATCCTGGCTAGTTTGGAACTCTATACCAGGGTGAGTATATCTAAACTAGTCTAAACTATGTGCCAGGCTGTGTATATCCTATATATTATTGATTAAGATAAGTCGTATGAAATGTAGGTTGTTGCATTTCAATATCTTTATGTACAAGTTTGAAGAGTTTGTGTTAATGTAGCTCAGTTGAGCCTTGTTGGCTTAGGAATTTTCATTGTTGTTTGACAGTTTGCCAAAATGGTAAATTTATTTCTTACAGGGTCATAGAGAACTGTTCAATGATGAAGCACTCAGTCCATTTTTAGAAGGTGTTATTGTGAAAACTGATGAACAAAGAATTCAAGATGTATGTATATACTTGTTTATTCACTAACTAAAGTTTTCTTTGGAAAATTTCATCTTCAACAATAATTTGTCTCTGATTTTAATGGTTTATGAAATTTATTTAAAATTCATTTTTTTTTTCTCTCTCTATCTCCTGGACAAAAAATGGCATAATTTAGAGAGAAAAATTAATTTTTGTAAGCTAAAGAAATTTTTCCCCCAATAAGGGCATGTATAATTTAGTTTCATTCCTCAATTAATTGTTATCTCAGTGTAAATTTTCTTAATTTTTATAATTGACATCTCTCTAAATACCTAGCTCTTTATTTTATGAATGACTTTACAGACATCTGGACCAGAAAACAGAGTTAATCCCAAAGACTTCAAAGATTCTGATTGGTTGTTTCCAGAAACCACCAAAAACTTCACAAAACTGCCATTACAGTACAGGGTACGTAGATTCATGAAAGAGTGATCTGTCTAATAATTGCATTAATTATATTGAAAATGGAGGAAAAAGCATAAACTCTACCAAATTATTACTTGAAATCACTACAAAACTAAGTATTTCTACTTAATATTACAAAGAAAATATGCATACTGATTAAACATATCTGGTACATTACGTAGGATTTGGTGAAGATATTTTTATTGAGATAAACTCAAAGTAAAAATCTCTTACTGTATTTGTCTGCAGGGTTACTGTGCTCTGTCCTTAGCTAAATATGACCGACTTCTGATACCATCAAACCCAGAGGTAGGAGTACTGCGATACAAGGACCATTACTATGCTTTCTCAAATAAAAATGCTGCAGGAGAATTTGCACAAAATCCAGACAGGTCAGTTAAATTAAATCAAATAACTTCCGTGTGTGATATCTTTAAGTTCAAAGCCAGAAAACTATATACATGTACCCACACTGTGTTGTATTTGATAGGTACATGTATATTTAGTTCAAAGTTTACAGAGTTTAAAGTTTAAACAAAGTTTAAAGTGAGCCTGGTCTACATGACCGAGTGATGAATTATTTTATGGAGAAAATTGCTGTTCTAAGGGAAATTTAGTTGTATTATTTCCAATTCAAATCACTTGTTTAAGTAATCAGTAGAACAAGTAACAAAATCTTGGACTTAAAAGAAAAATACTATATAAATACATGTATAATATTAACAGTTACATTCGACTGGTAGCAGAAGGGGCCAAGAAAAGTCCAGAATTGATTCAGCTATTAGAATTACATACCCAGTTTGCCACAATAACACCATATTCACAGGTAAGGTAAAATTACCCAGATAGACAAGAAATCAGTTCAGTCCAAATCTTCACTAGCAAAGCCAATTATAATCATAAATATTGACATTAATGAAAATATGATCCCACCTTAGTTTCTCTGTTTCTTAATGATCTCCGCAGTAAGGAAGCTTAATTGGTCCCTCATTTAAACAAACTTTAATCCCCAATACAAATTGATGCTTTATGCAATATTTGGTCAAAAATTGGTCAAGCGTTTTTGAAAAGTGAACAGATGCCAGACAGACATATAGACAGATGACAGACAAACTAGTTCACTTAATATGCCTTTGGCTCAGGTGAACTAATAATGATTGATCACTTCAGGCAAATAATTTCAAAATTGAATTTGACTACAGCAGATTTACAGTCTGAAAATAGTTTCTTCTTTGAGGTCTTTTATTTTAATGCAGCATTGACAGTAGGTACATGTATATGTTAAATTATTCCTTTATATTACTAGTATTACATGAAATCATGTACAAGTGACTATAGTTATTTATTTTATGAAATTGATGAAGATTAAAACTGACGTGAAATCTTACATCTCTAATGCAATTTTTTCCAACCCCAGTAACACACAGCTTCAGCCTATTTTAAATTCTGATCCCTTAGTTCTTTTCCTTCTCAAGAGATTCTGAAAGCCACTTTTTATGTCTCCTTATAAATGACCAAAATGGCTAAATAAATGGGAAAATATTTCCAGCGTGGAGTGGTACAAGTTTTTGCAACTAATACATTGTACCATGTAAAGTTCATTTCCAAGATGAATTCTTAGTACAAAACAGGTAATTAATTAGCTCATTTTAATTGATAGGGAAAAGATCAAGGCCGTATGATAGAGAAGCCGGTCACTAAATGTGACAGTGGTACACAGACAGACACCCACTTTATGGAGTCTAACATTGTCAAGTCATATGAATGGAATGAATGGGAACTCAGGAACTTAAAATAAAGAATACATAGTTTATAAATATGGTTTAACAGAGTAAACATTTCTATTTCAGGCTAACCTGCGGACACGGATCACTCACTCAGTACAGACTAATCTCAGTAACATGAGAAGAGACAATGCCATACAAGTCTGGCCTCCAAAGTATGTCTACTCTATACATATCACATTAATGTATCAGTTCATATGAGATTTCACTAAAATTGAAGTATAGCTATTAATGTCAAGTGCTGATTTACAGATTGAAGAATATTTGTAATATGCAGATATCAGCAGTGCATTTTACTTAAAAACAAAATTTTAACATCTGTTATCCAAAGCATTTATATATAAACTGAGACGTACATTCAGGAAAAACTTGGTTAAGTGGAGCAATGCCAATTTTATGCCCACAACCACATCCCCTATTTCCCTTCCCTAAGTTACCGTATAAGCAGAATTTTTAGCGAGGATTCAATTTTGGCCTTATTAGCGAGGATGTTGAGATCACTAAAATTGCATAATCACTAACAATTCATTCAGCACTAAGGAGGTAAGCCTGTCTTGCAACCTAAATATTCAACTTATACGGCACTACAAAAGTTGTGCTCAAAGCAAAGTTATAAACATCGGAATCTGTACACTGTGTACTTTGTACAGTTGTGGATGTACACTAAGTAGTACCAATATGTATCTTCCTAGTTGTTCACAGCCTCAGGTCTTTAGCTGTGTTGAAAATAGCTCAAGAAAATCTCCTGATTTTATGAAATTCATATTTTGTTTTTAAAAAGTTCATAAACAGTTGACACAACAACCAACCAAACATCTTTATATGAATCTAAGAATTGTAAAAGTAACCACCATTTCACCAATCATTTATATACATTACAGAGACCAGGAGACTCAGACAAAGACGGATGCCTCCACCAATGTTCCGCGGCCCCAGGTATTCCTGGCCGGTTTACGGGGAGGTGGAATGTCCACTGCCACCAACATGGTCAAAGTGGATCTTACCCAGGACGTAGATCAGACGTAACTGCTATCCCTATCAATCAATTCTGCTGGATTTTAGTTCTATTTATTTGTCATTTAAGGAAAACTGTCTTACTAATGACAGTGCCGATTGTGTTAAAAAGGACCAACATTCTCTCAGAAAGATTTCATCCAATAATAAAGATTTACTTAAACAATTAAATTTGAAAGTATGATACTGTGAAAGTCATGGTATATTAATAAACTTCTACTCTATACAGACGTCATGTATCTTTATCATTACACTAAAATGTACATGTATGACTCCTGTTTGATTTAACTTAAAAAGTTAAGGTCATCTGAGATGTGTGAACAAGCACATAAGATATATGCCTTTATGGTGACAACCTCATGCCAAAGCTTATAAACCAGTGTTAAAACAAGATAAGAATACTGCAGCCTAGTTAAGACACAAAAAACAATATGACGCTGGTTTCAAAGGTCAAGGAAATTTTGTATCGGGAAACATAATGTTATAATGATGCATCTAGTCACCAAATGTCATAAAGCAAGGTTAAAAGATTAACAAGTTTTATTCCAAACAGATTTTTTGTCCAGAAACATGTACATGTACATGCAAGACTGGTCAAGAGAGTTTTTGTGTCACCTGCAGAGCAGAGCACTAGGGGATCACTTTACCTGGCATCTGTCTGTCTGTCTGTTTTTCCATCTGTCACACCCTATATCTGGAGAACTGAAAAGGGTATGGATTTGATATTTTGCACATGGTTACCGACCTCGAGACCCTTGACCTTTGACCTACATTTCAAAATAGTTCATAGTGCCAATTTACAGCATATTTTTAACATTTAAAGAGGTAAATCTTTCCCATTTAGCATGTGCACTGTTTGTCATAAGATAATATGAATAACAAGAGGCCCATGGGCCACATCGTTCACCTGAGTAACTTTGGCCATGCTGTTCATTACCAGACTTCCCCCCTTGTAATACCTATTGACCTATTGTGGCCCCGCCCTACCCCCAGGGGCCATGATTTGAACAATTTAGAATCTACACTACCCCAGGATGCTTCCACATAAGTTTCAGTTTTTCTGGTCCAGTGGTTCTTGAGAAGATTTTTAAAGATTTTTCCTATATATTTCAATGTAAAACTTGGGATTCCCTATTGTGCCCCCCCCCATCCCCGGGGTCATGATTTGAACAATTTAGAGTGTACACTACTTGAGGATGTTTCCACATAAGTTTCAGCTTTTCTGGCCCAGTGGTTCTTGAAAAGAAGATTTTTAAAGATTTTTCCTATATATTTCAATGTAAAACTTGGATTCCCTATTGTGGCCCCGCCCTACCCCGGGGGGTCATGATTTGAACAATTTAGAATCTACACTACCCCAGGATGCTTCCACATAAGTTTCAGCTTTTCTGGCCCAGTGGTTCTTGAGAAGAAGATTTTTAAAGATTTCTCCTACATATTTCAATGTAAGACTTGGATTCCCTATTGTGGCCTCGCCCTACCCCCGGGGGTAATGATTTGAACAATTTAGCATCTACACTACCCCAGGATGCTTCCACATAAGTTTCAGCTTTTCTGGCTCAGTGGTTCTTGAGAAGAAGATTTTTAAAGATTTTTCCTATATATTTCAATGTAAAATTTGGATTCCCTATTGTGGCCCCGCCCTACCCCCGGGGGTCATGATTTTAACAATTTAGAATCTACACTACCCCAGGATGCTTCCACATAAGTTTCAGCTTTTCTTGCTCAGTGGTTCTTGAGAAGAAGATTTTTAAAGATTTTTCCTACATATTTCAATGCAAAACTTGTATTTCCTATTGTGGCCCCGCCCTACCCCCGGGGGTAATGATTTTAAGAATTTAGAATCTACACTACCCCAGGATGCTTCCACATAAGTTTCAGCTTTTCTGGCCCAGTGGTTCTTGAGAAGAAGATTTTTAAAGATTTTTCCTATATATTTCAATGTAAAACTTGGATTCCCTATTGTGGCCCCGCCCTACCCCCGGGGGTCATGATTTTAACAATTTAGAATCTACACTATCCCAGGATGCTTCCATATAAGTTTCAGCTTTTCTGGCCCAGTGGTTCTTGAGAAGAAGATTTTTTTATGACCCCACCCTATTTTTGTCTTTTCTTGATTATCTCCCCTTGTAAGAGGACTTGGCCCTTTATTTTAACAATTTAAACTCCCCTTCCCCCAAGGATACTTTGTACCAAGTTTGGTTAAAATTGGCCCAGTGGTTCTTGAGAAGAAGTTGAAAATGTGAAAAGTTTACAGACGGACGGACAGACGGACGGACGACGGACAACGGGTGATCAGAAAAGCTCACTTGAGCTTTCAGCTCAGGTGAGCTAAAAAACCCATTACAATCCAGTTGACCTTGACCTTTGACCTACTTTGCAAAAAATACCCTAGGCAGTTTAATCCAACTTATGACTTTTGAATTTTGAGAGGCAGAATTTTGATAATAAGCATTTATACATGTATTAGCTCATGATACTGTAACTTGAAACTGTATGATATTCAGTTACCACACAAACTTATATTTAAATACCATAAATGCATGAAAATACATCAGGATCAGTATTCCTTGATGGATCATGTAGACTGACAATTGCAGTTAATCTCTTTTGGAGGATTATTGGAAACATGTTTAGCTCATGAAAAAGTACTTTGAAACTATATGATATTCAGTTACCACATAAACTTATATTTAAATACCATGAAAATACATCGGGATCGGTATTACACAATTAATGGATCATGTAGACTGACAATTGCAGTAAAGACAGACTGAAATCTCTTTTGGAGGATTGTTGGAAATATGTAATAATGAAATGATAAATACTTACTTCGAATAATTTCAATTTTAATATTCATTTGAGGGTTAGGGAACCATATTTTCTTTGTCAGATTCTATTACAGTCTTATACTATCCATGGATGCCAAATTTTCTTTGCAGGCAAATGCAATTGAACTTTCATGCTAGTAGTAAATAAAAAGCTCACCACTCTTAGATTTTTTACACCTTTAATGAAGCTACAAAGCAGGCGTCACATGCATTCCTTGGAAACTCGTCTGAAATATGGACCTTGTGAGTTGTGACGATATATTTTTTTTTGGCAATAATGCCATAATACTTCGTTCTCTCAGTGCATCAGAACAATACAGCTGTTGAAAATTATAACTTGATATCTTTTTAGTTATCTGTTATTCTGTTTTTTAGCTTCCTTTGTTGTGATGTAAGAGTTTAACTTATGAATTATCACCAAGGAGCAGGAATGGGATTTTCTTTTTTTATATAATCTTTACTATAGATTTAGAGATAGATGTATCGAAGTTCAAAAGCTTGAAACTCAGATGAATTAAAAACAATAGATTCTCTTTGCAATTTGTAGAATATTTTATTAATCAACAATAAACATTTTGGCAAGTCTTTAAAATAAATCACACTAAAGATAAAAATTTAACTCAATCCACTGCACCCTGAGGATATCATTTCTTTTTTCTTCCCAATTTTAAAACTGAATGCACCATATCTGAATTACTGAATAGAAAAAAAAAGTGCTAGTACTGTGTGTATCTAAATTGCACTGAGTATGCTGCTACGTTTGTCTGAGTAAATCAATTCAAACATAAAAATCTACTTCTAAATTATGAATTTGTGTCATTCAAGTTGTAATGTCATGCACCGACAGACAGGATGACTTCTATTCCTATTCAGTATATAATAGTTCATTAATTAGTTACATGTGAAAGACCCACTAGTAAGAATATATAGTGCAATATAACGATAAAACAATTACTACACGCACATGCCATTTCAAGATATTTGCTTTTAACAGGTAATATGGATACAGTGAGCATTACAACTCTTTTATGGTACTGCACTATTTATTGATATGAGGGTTTTTAAATTTAAAAAGTATCCAAGAAGCTTATATCAGCATTGACACCATATTCTTGATCATACTGTTAAACATCATTTAAAAGCACTACATTCCAAACACAGCAGAGCTTTGGCTGCATCACTTTATAAAACATTTAAAACATTTGGCCCACTATAGTCCTTATGCTTATAAACCCTTGTTGAAGTAAACTCTTTCTGGGGGATTTGGCATGGCTTGTATTTTCTCTCTGATGTTTGGCTCTAAATGACTGACAGCTAAAGAACTTCAAAGAGAGGAAAAAGGAAAAGTTAGAAATTCAATTTTTAAATATATGTACTGATTAATATTCACACCATATATTTCTCAAGCTCAGTGTCTTAACTGCTATGTGATTGCCTTGTATTTTTTCAATTTAGATCCGCCCAAGATATAATATAATGTGTATAGTTAATGAAAATGCCATAAATTTATCTCATTTCATATTTATACATGTATATATTTTGCATTTGAAGTTATCAATAATATAATAAAAGTTTATAACCAAAACATATTCAAATTTTTATTGCCAATAGTTGACACTGGGACAACACTTGAAGATTGAATCATTCTTCATAACTTGCATATGTTTCAAAATACATGTAATTTTGTAATTCCTAACTTTTGTGATTGAATTTGATATATATAGTTTTTTAAGAATAACATTTAATTTTACCTTTTTTGTGGAAACAATGCACAGCAAAGAGGTGTGGCAAAAACTAGACTGCAAAAAAAAAAAGGCTGGGTTATATCAATGAGGACTATTACTATGTATGGTGGGTGGTGTGGGGGCCGATCAAGTATATTTCCTCATTCCATATAATTTCACCATTTATGACTATAGAGCATTAGTTTTAAAAACTTATTCTTAAAAAGCCTGCCACTGTAAATTGTGAAGGATCTGGCAAAAAAGGATCAGAGCTAGGAGAAATAATACGTGATACCATGATGTATAATGCTGATGGCACAGATTACATCTAAACCTATAAGTACTGTATGTAAAATAGCTGATAAATATAATACAACTGATTATTATACAATTATTGCTGTTTGTTTTTTCAGTCAGTAGAATGATTTAGCCACCTATTTACCAAACCCGAAGGGAAAAACCAGCAATTATAATTGTTTTTTTTAACATGACTTAATGATTAAATGATACAATATTGGTAAGCAAACCTAAAATTGCCATCTTTCATGATTGCATGTTTACATTTGTTTTGAAAATCTAGCCAAACACAGTGAAAAAGGCAAGATTAAAATAAACATAATCAGTTGTATTAATCTGGAATTTCTTCAACTATTTTTGACAAGATGAGAGTCAATTGCAGATGAAATAACTTTACATAACCAATTGTATCAAATGAATATAGAAGTTTTTTATCTACCCAGTATTTTTGGTTCAATGTAGAAAAGATAAATGTTTGTTCACCTGTGAGATCATGTGCAGGTGATATAACTTTCCATAACTAATTGTATCAATTTGGAAGTTTTGGGTCTCTTTTTGACCAAAGGAATGTAGAAAAAATAAATACCTGTTTACCTGGAAGGTCACGTGCAGGTGAAGATAACTTAGCATGATTTCCATCTTTGCTAGCCAAGGGAGTGTGATCCACTACTCTCCTCACAAACCCAAGGGCTTGTGAGGAGATTAGGGGATCAGAAACCCTTGGCTAGTGAAGATGTATGATTTTTAGAATGCTGGATCTCAACCGTTAAAGCGCTGGGAGTTATTCAGTCATAAAGAATATATCCACATATATTGAAATTATGTTATAAAACAATTGCTAATATAGCAATTGCTTAACAGATAGTTTTTAGGCACATTTTGATCCAAGGTCAGTGAGTACAAGAGGCCCATGGGCAACAGCACTCATATGAGTGTTTTTTCCCCAAGAAAGTCACAGTTGTTATATGTTTCATTTGAAGATACTTAATGAGCTTTGCCAATCAAGAACATTTGGTGTGTTTGTTTGTCTTATGTGCCTATATAGTGTGAATGTTTTCTGCACACAATACATAAAGTAAAAAACTGCCAATTCTGAACCCCACACTTTTTGCCTTTATGGTAGAAGATTGTGTTACACGTTTACTGAAAGTATTATCTAAACAGTATTACTTTTCATAATATCCAGGATTTCTGGTAAGCTTTCTGTTTATACCTTTAATATAGTTATAAATAAATGTATGTTATATTTTATTTTTATTAATTCATAGCATAATTGGACAGCAAACAATTAATGAAAGACTGATATAAACTGGGTACTCATTGACAACACTACTACATGTACTAAAGACCCTATTACGTTACAACTTGTACCAAACAAAATAATTTATCAAACACACCAGCATCACTTAAGATTGAATTGAAAAATCAAGAGGAAGCCCCTTTAACAATGTATGAGTAGTATTAAGCTAATGCATAATGCATGTAACAAATACGTAACATGCCCGTAGGAACCGGGGGGGGGGGGGGGGGGGGGGCAGCAGCAGTGCCCCCCAATAATTTTGCCAATATATAGAATACTATAGAAAACTTAGCTACTACTATATGCTTGTGCCCCCTCAATAAAGACGGCTGATGACCTTTTTTTTTTTCTTTTTGCTTGTCAAGGAATTTTGGCAGCTGATAGCGCCCCCCAACTGAAAATGTTTGGTTGTGCCCCCCCCCCCCCCAACTGAAATTCCTTCCTGCGGGCCTGCGTAATCTAGCAATCTCTCGTTAATGAGTAACTTATTAATTCTCCACTGACAATTGCTAATCAGAAAAGCTAACTTGAGCTTTCAGCTCAGGTGAGCTAAAAAGCAGGATAATATCAGTCACTAAACCTTAGAATGAAATGATCATAAAATTTCATTAGATGTACTTACAAAAATCCCACAAGAAGAACTTGAATTGGTGCATTTAGCCATGGCATTTTCTGAATTTCAAATAAGAAAAAAAATTGTTTAACAGCATACAACAAAGTCAACTCATATAAATATTGCTGAAGAATATCAAATATTGCTCAAAACATCATCTAAACCTCAAGTTGACATACCCTGTAGGTGAGAGATGTACATCTAAATGTACTTAATCACATGTTTTCTTAAAGGAGATCAAACTGAAATACTAAATCCATATATGGATTACATCTCCTACCTTCATAAAACTTTTCTTGTCCAAATGATTCATTATGAAGGGTGGGATCACTGAAATAACAAATATGTACACAAAGTACTGTTTACATGACAGACAAATTCAGTTTTCTTAAAAGAAGTCAAAGTGATGTCAAAATACAAGCAGATCCTTCAAAATATTCCTATAAAAATATCCTGACTGTTAAGGAGAAAAGGCTTAAACATGTACTGCTATTTGGTTTTAATGAAATTTTGGGGGGTTTTTTGGGCCTTTTGCACACAAGCCAAATTTAAGAGCTCTGAGATCATGTCCTGATTAAATCTCTGAAATAAAGTTTTTTTTCTAAATTATCAAAGACTGCAGGAATATGAACTTACTCATTCCTGGGGTTGCCATCAAAATTCTGGACACCACAACTTGAGATATAGCACTTTTGGCAGCCATTGTTGATTCTCCTAGTCGGTTGCCATTTTGGTCAAAAATTGGTATACCATTCATAAGTTCCCTATCAATAATTCAATCAATCATGTAGACAGAAGAAAATCTCAACAGTCTTATTCATTACAAAGGGAAAGTTAATATTGTAATGTTGATATTAAATGATAGTACACTGTATCAACCTAGTCAATGCTGCCTTCTTGAGGAATAAATGCTTTGTATCCTCTTTAAAGGCAGTACTGGAGTGTATCAAATATATAGGGAAAATCAACTAAAGGTATAATAATTGGTATAAACTGTATTAACTAATGAAAGCTCTATAGCTACCATGACAAACAAAATTATCAAAGCTTAATCCTTTCACATGTATGTAGGTGTCTTCATAAAATATACCAACAGTGTTACCTAAATTGTTCGAAATTTCAAAAAAATTTCAAAACTGTCAAAATAATGTGGACAAACTGGAAAAAAGGCCCTCCCCCATGAATTAAAACAAAGGTGTCTTTTTTCATTTATTATCTCCTTTGTGTTTTTATAATTTTACACTTATTAAGCTGACATACCTGCTCCTCATACAAGGAATGTTGATACAATTGGCTGCGGCCACAGCTGTGAATGGCACAAATCGACCAATCAGAGGTGGAAATTTCTAAGAATAGAAACAAAACAGTACATAAACACTTAGGCTTGGTACGAATCAAAATTTCTATCTAAAAGCACCAGAAGGTTTGCCTGGAAGATTATTTTATGAACTGTTGTCATCAAATATCATTTATACAACTTATTACATTTGATATATGATCTAAAGTTTTCAAATGGCCTGACATATCTATTCTTCTTTTCATTTGGACTGTTTTTCCACTTTTTCTTTCCATCTTACTTTTATTTTCATTTTGCACTTTATATATCACCTAATGATGCCATTTTTACAAGAAGAAATTACCTTGACCATGTTATTAATGGTAAGGGCTGTTCCAACCGCTCCTGTGGTAGCCAAAACATAGGACATACCAAGATGTCTGAAATGCAGAATACAAGTTTTATTCAAGTTTTTATGTTTTTTTCAAAATTGAAAATGTAAATACGATCTACACAATGGAATTTTATTGATACACACTGATTATAAGATGAAACAAATGCCTTTATCAACAGTAAAAAATGTTCTTATTCTTTCTTTACCAATGATCAGATTTTAAGAGAAAAAGATGGGAGGGGGACAATTTAGCCAATACAACAGAAAGGTTAACCTTAACAGCTACCAGCCATACAATACTATTCTCCATTAAAAATTCTGAGTTTTTAATTTTGATCACCATAAGACCTTTGCTAATTTTTTAAGTTTCACTTACTAAAATAGAACCTGTAATTAAAATAGAATCTTAAATTATCAATCGCATTTGTGTAGTGATGATCTGACAGACAGACAGTTTGACAGGCAGACAGCTAAACTTACAGATAGACAGACACAGACAGCTAGAAAGGCAGACAGATAGACAGCTAGACTTACAGATACACAGACACAGGCAGTTAGACAGGCAGACAGATAGACTTAGAGATAGATAGACACAGACAGCTAGACTTACAGATAGACAGACACAGACAGCTAGACAGACAGACAGATAGACAGCTAGACTTAGAGATAGATAGACACAGACAGCTAAACAGGAAGACAGCTAGACTTACAGATAGACAGACACAGACAGCTAGACAGACAGACAGATAGACAGCTAGACTTAGAGATAGATAGACACAGACAGCTAAACAGGCAGACAGCTAGACTTACAGATAGACAGACACAGACAGCTAGACAGACAGACAGATAGACAGCTAGACTTACAGATAGACAGACACAGACAGCTAGAAAGGCAGACAGATAGACAGCTAGACTCGCAGACAGATAGACAGCTAGACTTACAGCTAGACAGACACAGACAGCTAGACACACAGAAAGATAGGCAGCTAAACTTATAGATACACAGACACAGACAGCTAGGCTTACAGATAGACATAGACAGCTAGACAGGCAGACAGATAGACAGCTAGACTTACAGATAGACAGACACAGACAGCTAGACAGCTAGATTTACAGATAGAAAGACACAGACAGCTAGACAGATACAGACAGCTAGACATGCAGACAGACAGATAAACAGGCACAAGCAGACACAGAGATAGATAGTCATACAGACAGGCCTAACCATTAATAAAGAGCTCTACATCAAATATGCATGGACCTCATTACATACACAAACATTTTGATCATTATATACACACTTGAGAGGTATTGGATGGTCCCCACTCCTGTTGGTGTAGTTCACGACTGCATTAAATGTCTGGTTAAACCACTGCCAAAACACCACAGCCGGCGTGGTCCTATGAAAACATACAAACTATACAAATAACTGTCACTCAGAAACCAGCCATCTATAAAGATAATATTAGTATTAACACTGAAGAAAGGATTTTCTAAAAGGCATGCAAAATATGTAGTTCCCACTTCTTGTACCAGTTTATTAGAATGTGAAGGTTACATTAAAGGTGCTTAGACACAGATTTGAACTTAATATTTTCTAAAATTTTCTATATATCACGACTTATATATTGCAATATCATTTCACACGAAAATATAATTAAAAACTTATTTTATCTGGAAATTATTGGAACTACGAATTCCAGGACGCGTTTGATTAAAACATCTAAGTTCGCACTTACACAAATTTTAACTTTATCCTTAATATTTAAGAAAAGAAGTGATTTTGTTATGTATTAATGAAAAATATTGCATCTGTAATCCAGAAAATTCAGAGCAGAAATGTTCGAAAGCAAAACCAACTCACCAGTATTGTCAGTCCGAGCTCTGTGATATGTACAGAGTTTTACAAATTGAACACACCCGTGAAACGTAAACTGTTTTTGTAAACAGGGCACGAGCTCTGTTATTGTTAATGTTTATGATTCACCGGGTGTGTTCAATTGTTAACTCTGCACACACCACTGAGCATGGACTTACAATACTGCGAGTGGGTTTTGCTTTCGAACATTTCTACTCTGAATTTTCTGGGTTATAGTTTTAATATTTTTCATTAATACACAACAAAATTGCCACTTTTCTTAAGTATTAAGAATAAAATTAACATATGTGAAAGCGCAAGGTTGTGTCAATCCAACACATCCAGAAATTTTAAGTTTTAATAACTTCGAGAAAAAATAAGATTTTTATTATATTTTAGTATGAAATGCTACAGCAACATATAAGTCATGAAATTATACAGAAAATTTGAGAAAATATTAATTTCAAATCTGTGTCCAAGCACCTTTAACTGGGTAAAATTGTGTATTTTGACCTAAAATAAAAAGGTTGTTCATAACAAAAAAAAAGGGAGACGGGGTGGGGGGTTACAAACTTGTAAAAAGTCATCATGCATCCTGTAATAGTCATGTTCATTGGTACTTGAGCAGACATTCTACCAATCAGCAGCATTTTCTCATGAGTATCTGGGTGAAAAGCTGAATCATAGAGCTGTTTGGCCTTCCATAATTCATCTTCAGTCAAACCAGGGATTTCTTCTTTTTTCCTGTGGTATCACAATACAGGTGTTGTAAGAACAGTAGTTACTGACATTAACACAAAAATTCCATGAAAAAGAATCAATAGGCCACATCTGACAATTCTCATCTGAGTCACCTTAGAATGTGGTAGTTACTGAAATTGGTCATTACTAAGAATGTAGGATTAAGTTGTGGCTGAGGATGTGGTAGTTATTGAGAAAGTGGCAGTGACTGAGAATGAAGAATAAAGTAATGACTGAGATTATGGTAGCTACCGAAAATGTGGCAGTTACTAAGAATGTACAATTAATTAGTGACCTAAAATGTGGTAGTTACTGAAAAAGTGGTAGTGACTGAGAATGTAGAATTATGTGGCTGAGAATGTGGTAGTTACTAAGAAATATGGTAGTGAATAAAAAAATAGAAATCAGTAGTGGCTAAGAATGTGGTAGTTACTGGGAAAGTGGATATTACTAAGAATGTACGAGGGGTGATCAAAAAGTTTGCGAACTAATTGGATAACTTACATAATATTATTCAAAGTGGGATTTTGAGTTTACTCTTTTTCAAAGTAGGCCCCTCTTGCTTTTATGCACTTTTGCCATCGGTCTGCCCATGCCCAAAACACGTCATCCAAGCCATCACGTGACATGCTTCTTAGCGCCTTGTTAACAGTAGTACCAAAATCTTCTCGGGACTCATATTTCTCTCCCCGTAGGTTATCTTTCAAAACTGGAAATAGCCAGAAGTCACAAATTGCCAAATCTGGGCTGTAAGGGGGGTGAGTTAGGTTTTCTATACCGTGTTTCCATGGTGTCCATCACAACCCGACTTTTATGGCTAGGCGAGTTATCCTGGTGCAAAATGAATCCAGCTCATATCAGATCAGGGCGCTTTCTCTTTACTGCTCTCATCAAATCTGATTTGATAACCCGCGCATAGTAATCTCCAGTAACTGAAGTTTTAGGTGGTACCATGTGATTTAGAATAATTCCGTTCATGTCACAGAAAACATTGAGCATAACCTTCCCTGCAGACTTCGTTACACGTGCTTTCAATGGTGATGGAGAGGAAGAATGCTTCCAAATTGAACTTTGTTGTTTACTTTCTGGTTCATAGAAATGTACCCATGTTTCATCACACGTTATTATTCTATTCATGAAAAAATTTCCTTCTTTTGCATATCTACTGATGTATGACTTCCAAACATTTACCCGCATCTTCATTTGTTCTGGCAGCAGGAGGCGAGGAACCCACCTTGCACAAACTCGCCGCATTTTAAGCTTACTTGTTAAAATCTCCTGAACAGTTCCATAAGACATGCTAAGATCATCAGCTAATTCTCTAATAGTAACTCTTCTATCTTTCATCACAAACTGTTCAACCCGAGATACATTTGTCTCTGTACTAACGTTTGGGCACCCAGATCGATCATCATCTTTCACAGTCTCCCTTCCCTCAATAAAACGTTTCATCCACTTACTTACTGAAATTTTTGCAAGCCCACTATCCCCATATACTTTATGTAAATCATTGTAAATTTCCGTGAAGGATTTTCCGAGTTTTACGTAAAACTTTATTATTGTTCTCTGCTCAAGTATGACTGACTCATCCATTTTTGTCACAGTCGCCTCTATATTGATGTCATTTTTACATCATGATGTCATAAATATGAAGCAAATTACAACATAACTCATGCTACATCAAGCACATGTTTAGGACTATATGTGTGCCAAAATTCATTCTGCTCTGAACTATGGATAGATAGATATAGAGTTAGTTCGCGAACTTTTTGATCACCCCTCGTAGAAATAAGTAGTCACTGAGAATATGGTAGTTACTGAAAGTGGCAGTGACAAAAACTGTAGGATTAAGTAGTGGCTGAGAATTTGGTAGTTATTGAAAAAGTGCTAGTGACTGAGAATGTAGAATTAGAGAGGGGCTGAGAATGCAGTATGACTGAGAAAGTGGCAGTGACTAAGAATTTAGAATTAAGTAGTGACTGAGAATGTAGCAGTTACTAGTTACTGAGAAAGTGGCAGTGACTAAGAATGTTGAATTCAAGTAGTGGCTGAGAATATGGTAGTTACTGAGGAAGTAGCAGTGACTATGAATTTAGAATTAATTAGTGGCCGAGAATGGGGTAATTATTGAGAGTGGTAGTGACTAAGAATGCAGAATTAGGTTTTGGTTTGAACATATTTTATTGCAATGAATATATACAATTGGGTTGCTCCTTAAACTTAATTTGCCCTGTCCCTGATTAGGTATGATGGAGAATTTGGTTATAACTGAGGATTAATGGTGAATGGAGCCATAGATTTTTACAGCCATACATGATTAAAACCCTCCATTGTATCATAAAAACAACAGTTCTACCCACCTGTATCTCTCCACAATGTCTTTGGCATGATCAAGTTGTGCTTCTGTTGCCAGTATATTCAGGGGGTTTGTAGTGATGAAGAAATGCTTTGCTCGTCCTATAAATGTGTTTTGGTCATATCTTGGGTGTTCTATATCTATCCTTGTGCTTAGTGCCATAGTTCAATAACAAGAAGGAAAATACTGCAATGAAAAACTGGAAATGTCAGAGGACGACAAAACTAGCATTCGACAGTTTATTCCAACTTAAAATTCACTTAGTTCTGTTCTGTTCTTTGATCCAGCAAAAAATACCATTTGGTCTCGGTTAAGCATTAACCATCCTCGCATGCCAGGGGTCCTGAGTCAACACGTTGCCGTTGGACACCTGGCATATTTCATTCAATATTCGTGGGCTGACTGTAGCGACGTCTTTCAGAAAAATGACTAATCTTGATTGTTTTTCTTATCTTTCAACCAATCACATTAAGCCATTCTATGATAAACAAGTTGTAACAAGTCCATTTGAGGTGTCAACTGAATCCTTATCTAACTATTTATGAAAGGCTTTAATTGAATGAAATATGCCAGTATGCCAGAGGTCCAATGGCAACATGTTGACTCAGGACCTCTGGCTTGCAAGGATGAGCATTAACTGACAAAGTCTAATCAAAGCATAATTTTCAAGAACTTTTTTCCTTTCAATTCCTCCTGCAACTTTTTTCATATTTTAAATGATTATCATACCATTAATGTGCATTAAAATATCTTTAAAATAAAAGTATATGGATTTCCCATGACTAATTGTTTTTCCTTGTTTATGAAAAAGCAATAAAAACCTGTCTTGTGCTTAATATCAAATGACCTTGGAACGCACATGTGCTATATGTGCTTCTATCTCAGTAAAACAATTTTTTTCACATACAGTACACATTATAAAACCATGCCTTTTGTTTTTTGTTTGTTTCTTTCATTTTTTTGGGGGGGGGGGGGGGCACATTTTTTGTTGATTGATTCCCATAAAACAAGCACATGTTCATTGAAATCAGATATAAAAGCATTAACTAGATATACTTATAGAATGAATAAACCATGATCGTAATTACTTAGTAGTCCATTGTGTGATCATCTGAATCTTGTGACTTTACTACATTGAACTCCCTCTAAAACTTGGAAAAATTCATATAAAATATTATATGGCATATTTTATTCCAAAAGTTCAACCTGTTGTCCCAAATCCCATCTCAACACTATTATCTACCAAATGTATGTTCGTTTGCCCTAGAACTTGTTTGCCATTGACATCTTTCACCCAGAATCTGTTTGCTCTGTACATGTAACTCGTTCGTCCGAGGTGCGTTTGCATTCTCTTATGTTGAATATGAGTTATTTTACATAATTTACATTGTTGAACTTTATGGTTTTTTTCTGCATGATATCATTAAATTCACACATAAAGTATAGATAAAAAAAATGAATGCATGCATTAAACCAATAATTTTAACTGATGAGTTTATAATCTGTAGTAATTGATGTCTGATAAAATAATTAGCATTATAACATTATATATTCTAACACGGGAATAACAAATTTTCCAAAGATAAAACTGCTACTCAGTCCCCAAGATGGCCTATTAATGTCTCAATTTTTTTAATTGTTTTCAAAACAGAACGCAAATCATTAAAAAAACAAACAAAAACAAAGATCGAAGACCTTCCTTCATCTACAGCTTTTAACAATAATTAAAAAAATTACATCTTTGATAAACAATAAAAATTGGAAATAGTCAATTTATTAATTTAAATGTAATTAGAAAAAGTCTTCACTAAATCCATTTAAAAAAAAAGAAAAAGAATTCAACAGAAATGTTAATAACATATACACAATAGAGCGAACAGCATATACATGTAGGACAAACGTGATACAAGGCGAATTATGGTGAACAGACATGGGCAAACACTTAACAGACTCTTGAAAATAGGAAAAAAGGGCAAATGGGCCTGATACCATACCTACCCCCCCCCCCTCCCCCTTATCATGATCACATAGTTATGCAGTCTGTTATAAGTATGGCAATTAAGATGTTTTTTGCTGGCTGATGAGGCACTTACTTTTCCGTTTCACAAAATGACATCAATATAAAAATACAAATAAAAACATATGCAATGACTGCTGTCAAGAAAAAATAAGAATGAACATTACATGTACAGATTATGCCTAACATTTTTTCCCCAGTTCCAACCAGCTGTTATAACAGGATATTCCTCTACAGATTTACTATGTCTATATAGTAGATTTTTTTGTTCTACAAAACCCAAATTTCTCTGAATATATGTCCATACAAATTTAATATAGGGCAAATATGACACGTCAGGCTCTTTCCAGTATAATTACCCTTTCACAATACTGTTGGAGTGCTTCTTGCTTGTATTTTCACATTGACGGAGGTGTGTACAAAATGTAATATTGCCATTGGTTGATATTGTTCTGCGTGGTTTCGCCCCAATATCAGTTCAAATTAATGTTCTACTATTATTTTCGAAGATATACCAATCTCCTTTCAAACTAAGCTATTTCTTGACATTCGAAAGCACTTATAGTACTTTTTTAATACTTTTTTATATTAAGTTTATAATACCTTCTTTCAGATATCTTGTCGCAACATTCAAAATAATTTGGAATTGTTCTGATACTAAACACAAGGGAACGAAACGACATTCTCATGCATTAATAATCTCAACAAGGATACGCTTGTCATTTACTCTGATTCAACACATCCTTTAAAACGTACGAATGATTGAGTAAAACTGAAAACAATATGCAAACCGAAGGAAATCCGTTGTTGGCAAACGACGAAGTTTTGGAAAATGTTAGACGGAGGGTACAGCAGAAACTTGCTGGAAGATTTTTGGATGCGATGGGAACAGGTATATTAAGATGGAATGGGAACCAAAAGTGTTTATCTGTTTATGTAACGTAATACAGTAAATCAGGCACAAATGAAATCCATGGATGATAACTGCGGGCAGGGAATTGATACAGTTTCAGAGTTTGGTGAAATATTACGCAATAGCAATTGTTTAATAAACGTCATTTAATTATCTGCCAACAAGAACTTCGCCAAACGTTATTAAGCAGATGGGCGAACAATGCTTGCAAAATGTATAGATAGCTTGAAATGTATAGGCCTATTTCTGAAATAAGTATTTAGACTTAGAGCAAAGATCTAATATTATTATGCCCCCGTAATCGAAGATTCGGGGGCATATAGTTTTTGCCCTGTCTGTCCATCTGTCTATCTGTCTGTTTGTCCGCAAAAACTTTAACCTTGCCCATAATTTTTGATTGGTTGCAGCTATGGCTTTCATATTTTCACATGTTTAAATTCCTCATGACAAGACCTTTCTTTGGGTACCATCAAATTTGACCTTTTGACCTTGAAGTTTGACCCATTTTTGCTATATTTTATCAGACTTTAACCTTGGTCTTAACTTTTGAGTTGGCGCTAGGACTTTCAAACTTCACATGTGTACATGTGTATACCTTGTGACAAAACCTTCTGTCAGATTCCAACAACTTTGACCATTTGACCTTGACCTTAGAGTTTGACCTACTTTAAAAAAAAATTAACCTTGGCCATAACTTTGAACAGTTGGTGCTAGGGCTTTCATGTGTATTCCTTGTGACAAGACCTTCTTATGGATACCAACAACTTTGACCCTTGACCTTGGAGATTAACCTACTTTTGAAATCTTTAACCTTGGCCATAACTTTTGAACATTTGGTGCTAGGGCTTTCATACTTCATTCCTTGTGGTAAGACCTTCTTATGGATACCAACAATTTTGACCCTTGACCTTGACCTACTTTTGAAAAACTATAACCTTGGCCTTAACCTTTGAACAGTTGATGCTAAGGCTTTCATTCTTCACATGTATATTTCTTGTGACAAGACCTTCCTTTCGATACCAACAATTTTAACCCTTGACCTTGACTTTGGAGTTTGACTTTTAACTTTGGTCATAACTTTTGAACAATTGTTGCTAGTGTATTCCTTGTGACAAGATCTTCCTTTGGATACCAACAATTTTGGCCCATTGACCTTGACTTTGGTGTTTGACCTACTTTAAAAAAAAAAAAAACTTCAACCTTGGCCATAACATTTGAACATTTGGTTCTAGGGTTTTCATATTTCATGTACTTGTGTATCACTTGTGATAAGGCCTTCCCTTGAGCACCATTTGACCTTGACCTTGATGTTTTACTTACTTTTGAAAAACTTTAACCTTCACCATAACTTTTCAAAGGTAGGTGTTAGGGCTTTCACAGTGACATCTTAATTCTATACTTTTTCTACCTTATTTATTAGTTGATTATTTCATCCCTCAAAAATTCCACTCAACCACTTAAAAAGTTTTAAAAGACATTTTATTCCTAACATATGAAAAAAAACAACAGCTTAAAGTCTTATGTGCACCCCCTTTCTGTGGAGCAGTCCTCATTCTGTTCATGTTTTATTAGAATCTGATGCCTCTGAGGAGAATAAGACAGAGAAATCCTTACTGAGTCAAAACATGGATGAAGAAACAAGAAAAGAATTTGAGAAAAAGTTTGGTAAATACAGGAGCAAGGACTCGCCGTACAGTATTCAGAACATTCTCTGGTTGATATCCTCTATAGCTGTCTTCTATTACACAGACTTCTACATCGCGTGTCGATACGATCAAAGAGTAAACAGGTAAGTTAAAGTTATAGATGAGTAGAAAAATGATGTAAAATCAAGAATACCTAAAAAGTCTTTATATTGTTTGTACATGCTTTTGATATTTTTCAAACGTGCACAATCACATTTGAGATTGAGTAAACAAGTACTTTTTGAGTAGTTTAACATAGAAATTTTTGCATTGGCTCCGGGATCCTGATACTGTCTGAAGTCCTAAGTCAGACTTAAGTCCATAAATTTGACTTAAAATTTATGATTGGTCTTAAAGTGGATCACAAAAAGTTCTAACTTAAATTTAAGACAGCTTCATGATCCTGGAGTCTGTACATGATTTTCTTTTTATGATACATTAATTATTATGTATTGTAGGAATGTTTTTGAAATGGAACATTATCTTTTTAGCATAAAATAGATAATAAAGTGTCAAAAATTTATGTACCAGTACAAATAGTTGATGATATCCTTTTTGCTCAGGGTGTGGTTCAATGTTGGAGCTATCCTCATGTTGGTTAATCTCTCCATTGCCGCTTTCCTCATTGTGTACATAACTTACATCAAAAAGGTCAGCACAGATAACTGGGAGACCCTTTACCCAGCCGCTATCCCCATAGCCACTGGATCATTTATACTTGGAGGGATTTGGTAAGTCCTGAAATTCAAGAAGATTTTTTATACCACACGTAAAGTTGGGGGAAAAGGGTGGGGGGGGGGGGGTATGCTGGAGAATTACATTGTCTTCTGTTGACTCTGTTAGTGTTCATTGACATTTTTTTTTATCAAGAGATAGTCTTTGAAACTTTTTCATGCTTGAACTTTGTAGAAATATAAAAAATACCATTCAACATGTGCATCTAATATTTTCAAACTGATTCATCAAGTTTTTAAAAATTTGTAGATTTTTAAAGATTATATTGAATACTTATTTTTAGGAATTCTGTAACTAAAAAAAGAGTGAAATTCTTTTCTGAACATAACTTTGAAATTAAGAAACTTAAGTGGTTCATATTTGATACAAATGTAGCTTGTGAATAAAGCTTTGTCTCTTGACCCTAGCTCATATTGGAAAAGTCGAGCTCATTATTGTTCTAACTTTGAATTGAGAAGTCAATGGAGAGTCAAAATCATGCTCAATCAAATGTAGAGGAATTTTATCCATCCAACCCAGTTACACTGAATTGATTGTATAGATATTAAATAATATTGATGTTTTGGCCTGTCTTGAACAGTTGAAGGAAAAGATGATTTTACTTAAATGTTGTTACTATTTTGTAGTTTGAATAGTTATCTGTGGCAGCTATGCAATGTATTTATTTCCATATCAATAATTTAATTCTGGTTGTAACTTACCATTTGATTGGGAAAAAAATTACTTTATATCGTATAAAATGTGTTGCCTACGTCACAAAGACTTGCGTCAAAAATGTATCGATCCACCTGACTTTACATTTAAATTTTGCACAATTTGAGGTCATTTTTAAGGGCAACCATCTCATTTTCTAACACTAAATGAAAGAAAATTAAATTATAAGGAATGAATTTAATAGCTACCCAATTTATACGGTATAAACTGGTTTGGAACAGTTTACGATTATTTATAAACTGCTTCGTGGTTTATAAAGCATAAACTGCCCCAACCCAGTTTATACCATATAAATTGTGTAGCTATTAAATGCATTCCTTAATTAATTTAAAATCTTATTTTTTCAGTGTGACAGTGGGTCTGTGGCCGATATGGAGTATATTCACCCCAGTTATCCTGTTTACCTTATTTATGGGTATGATTGTAACAATAGCAATGTTACCAAACTTCTAAGATACCCAGAAAAAAGACATCTGTGGACTTCAGAAGAGAAACTTTTCAGTAACTGTACAATGTTTCTGTTTTATATCTTGCTCTGTACTTGATGCTGAAGAAAAAAGTTGTTGTTTGTTATAAATGTTATTTATTTTTAAAATAAGATGACACATATAATGTTTATTTTTATTTATATAAATATGTACCAAGCAAAGGCATTACGTTTCCATGTATGACAATGGACATGTATTTAACTTCCCTTTTTCTATTTTATGTTAAATGTTTATTTTTATATCTCATCCTCAAAGTATGTGTTAGGTACATAAAGTATTATCCATGTTTGTTCTTTTGCCCCCCTGGAATGCAACAAGAAATCCCCCTCCTTCTTTTTTTTCCTTCTTTTCCTGCAGGTCTTTAGCTAAATTTTGTATTATGTTTTATGATGGTTGAGTTGCAGTTCTAGTTTGAGTTCTAACACTTATTGCTCAATTCTAATAGAGTTATGATCATTTTAAATGTGAGAAATTCCTGGAAATTGTGAAAAAAGTTTTCCCTTTATATATGCTTGCAGATATTGAGTTGAATTTCAATGAAAGGTTGTATTACAAATCAAATTATATTTTCCACACTAATGATTTAACTTTGAACCAATTAGTTACATTGAACCAATTAATGATTTATTTTGAAGAGTGTTAAAGGTGACCATTTAAATTAAAAAAAAATACTTGTACAAATTTTTCCCCCATATACATGGTATTGAACTTATAATTTAATGTATGTGTGTATGAAGGTGAATTGTAGATATAATTTTTTTCCTATGGTCCCATGAAACAGAATTAATTAGGCTCTAGAATGTTAAAGAACAGTTTTTTACTTTAGCTTCAAACAGAAAATTCATCTTGTACATAACTGTATAACTACATAACTACATAACTGCATAACTACATAACTGTAGTTTTAATGTACACACAGGTCTCTGGAATTGGTTTTTAAGTTATATTTCAGAGTATACACATTAAAATATTCTTAAACCACATTTAAATCCTTAATATATATGTAAATCATTTCATATTGGAGTAAATAAGTATCAGTACATATGATCTGAATTATTCCAGTACATGTAATTTTGCCAGCAAAATTTATTTTCTTCTAATCTGGATTCCAATTGAGACTTGATTAACTACTTAAAGCATAAAATGTTATATTTTGCTAAATATTTTTTTAAAATTGTAAATATTTTAATGTAATTCAGTACTTGAAAAGTATGTTGATGATGATACGAGAATGTCTCCTACAATATAGCTCTAACAAAAAAGTACTATCGTCAACAATAGCTTACTATAGTTAATTATGGTCTACTTTTTTATCAAAGTTTTTCTTTAGTTAATCAAAGTATCACAGTTATTACTATTGTAAAAAAAAATTACTTTGAATTTCAGATTGTTTATTTCATTTTTTTTCTCCATTTCTTCTATACAATATTCTGTTTTTAAAAAGAAATGTTTCTTGTAAATCACATACATTTTCCCCCCAAAAAATTACTTCATTGATTTAATTTAAAAGATGTTAAAGCTGTGAGTCTCAAATGAAATTCAAAATTATCATTGTAAAGATCAAATCATAGTAAAGTTTCAACGTATACTAGTTGTAAAGTTTCAAAGTAACAAGTAAAGTTTCAAAGTATCAAAGTAAAGTTTTGAAGTATCAAAGTAAAATTCAAAGTATCAAAGCAAAAATGTCAAAGTATGCACTAGAGTACACTATAGACAATTATAGTAGATTTTTGTTAGGGCTAGGAAGTAGGAATTTTCTCATTTATTTTAAGCATCTCTTATCTCATGTTCCCAGCATTATATATTTAATAAGATATGAAATATATTTTAATGTGAAATTCTTGAAGTTGAGGCTTATCTATAGGTAAGGTCCTCTTTTATTTTTTATAATATACTACTTACTTTTTAGATATAACTAAAGGCCTTTGGTAATTCTTGAACATTGAATAATATTTACCACAAGAAATACGAAAAGTTTATTATCATTATTTAAGAAGTTTGCACTCCTACATCCAGACCTAACATCTTATTGGTTGTTCAGAGAAGACATAGGAGTTTACACTAGGTTCTGATAGCTCAAAAGCATTAAGTCATTGCTAGCCTTTTATCATAATTGTTGCTTCATAATGCAAAAGTAGTAATAGCATACTTTCCTTATTTTCTGTCAAATTTTTTGACACTTTGAACAATTTGTCTGAACAAGGCTTATATGTTGCCATACAAACAGGGAACTATGAACAGTTAATATTTATGTTTTATCAGGTTTACACATCAGTCCCAGATAGTGTTTTTTTTTTTGTCAATGTATTATTGCAGTTTGTTACACTGTATTTTCTCTAATTTTTGGATCCTTTCAGCAATAATTTAAATCTGATTGTAACGTGCCATTTGATTGGATAAAACAATTACTTTCTATCGTATAAATTGGGTTGCCTACGTCACAATGACTTGCGTCAAAAACGTATCGATCCACCTGACGTTACGTTTAAATTTTGTACAATTTGAAGTCATTTTTAAGGGCAGTAATTTTTTTTCTTACATTAATGGGATGAAAATTATAAGGAATGAAATTAATAGCTACCCAATTTATACGGTATGAAGTGGGTTGGAACAGTTTACGCTTTTTTATAAACTGCTTCGCGGTTTGTAAGGCGTAAACTGCCCCAACCCACTTTATACCCTATAAATTGGGTAGCTATTAAATTCATTCCTTAATTGAAATGCCAGAAATATTCAAAACTTTCACTGATATTGGTGTAAAAGACACATTTGGATTTCAGAAAACTAAAGTTTAATGATAATGAGGAATAATAGAATTATTTTCTTTTTTCAATACTTCAGGTACAACTTGCATACATCAATAAGTTTGTGTTCCAAAATGAAGTCCCAACTATCTATTCTTTTTTTCAGAAATTCCTCAGTTTTTTTTTTATTTATTTTTTAACGTCAATGTCTTGATGTCATATTTTATGTAAATTGTTACATGTGTTTATCCCTCCGCCCTTATTTACCAAAAAAGCCATGTTCCCATAATACTGTAATTCAGATTTAATTAATGTATTAAATGTCTGTAGAAGTTTCTGTCAGTCAATGTATGGTTTGGGTAAGGAGATAGCTATATTACCTTTGACAATCATGCACAATCCTCTATTGCAGGCTTAACATAGAATTTTCCAGCTTAACGTAAAACTTTTCTTAAGTTTATTAATTCAGCACGTTTTATGCATCATTCAGGTTTACATTATTTTAACATACCAAAGAGATTAAACTCAAGAACTATATTGTAGCAGTAATTGACTTAACCTGCCTTGATATATTAAAACTTTTTACATGTACATACAAAGTATTTCTTTAGGCAGGTAAATGTGGACATGGTGCTTTTACTTGGAAAACCCAAATTCAGCTAGATTTTAGAATGTGATAAACTTATCTGAAATTTCAACACTGAAGCTTATATCTGACGGTTTCCATTAACAGTGAATTGTAGCAGTAGTTTAATGTCTGTGATATCCTCTGCTTAGAACAAAAAAAAAGCTTGTGTTGTCAAGTAGTGTAGACAAACTATATTTTTTGTGTACTATTTTTTTGTACTTTGTCATAAATTATTTTAATAAATTCTTTCTACATGTATGATCTTTATTTTAATAAATTATTTGTGAAGTTATTGAAAATCGTTGTTGTCGTTAGTTAATTAGCAAAGGTCAGTCTTTTCATAATTACTACCTGAAGCTACATTCATATTTAAAAGAATCAGCCTCTGTAATTACTTGAACTATTTTTGATATGCGTGGCGCATTTATGCAGATTTTGATGAAATTTTGCTTGTTATTAGGACTTGACACAAGAAACATAGGACAAACAAAATTTGGTTGCTCTGTGTCTTGGTTCCATGGTAACCAATTTGAAAGTTGAGATTTTTAGCAAATTTTAATCTTACTAGAGCCTTACAAAGATTGAGAAAACCAAATTGACCACTTCAGAAAATGTAATACAGCCATGTACATGTACCTTGATGACGTGTAAATCAATTTTTAAATATGTCGTAAACATGGTTCTATTTGGTATACTATTTATATGCTAAAAAATGCTCTATATTGACAAATGCTAGGTATTTCATGAGAAAACTCGATTACCAACGGCAGAGAAAAAACAGCAGTATTTGATTTTTCGTAATAGGTTATCACAATGTGCATTGTAAAAATAAGTATGGTTGCGATTGTAACACAGCATAGCTAGACATAAATTTCAATTAGTATACCATCTTTAGGAAAGTCATGGAGAATCATTACTGCTAAATATATATCTGTAAGACATTGTAACACAGCCTTAAAGGGACATAGACACAGATTTGAAGTTAGCATTTTCTCAAATTTTCTGTATAATATCAAGACTTATATGTTGCTATAGCATTTCACACGGAAATATCATAAAAAAAACTTAGTTTCAATAATTTCCAGATAAAATAAGCTTTTGATTATATTTCCCTGTGAAATGCTATAGCAACATATAAGTCATGATACGATACAGAAAATTTGAGAAAATATTAACTTCAAATCTGTGTCTATGCCCCTTTAAGTTATTGCTGTCTAATAGTAACCATGGAGACATCATAGCACTGGTTACAGTAATAATTTCTTGCTACTTTATGAAATGAATTAGTTTTTATTTTTTAAAAAAATGCATTATCTTAATTACCTAAAATTGTACTAATCTAATAGAATTAAAGTTTATTAATATTGATCAAGTTTGATGAAGAGAAAAATGTTGATTTTATGGCAACTAAGAAGGAAAAATGTTATAATTATCCTCAGTTTTAAGAATTGAAGGGGGGGGGGGGATTTAGTGCGAGAGAGATCTATGTTGCGTACTATTCATGCATATACCTATATTGTACTGCAGAAACACGTGACGTGTATTTTCAAATACGGTTTTCACTTCTAATAAATGTTCACTTGGCTTAATTAATAATCTTCACATGGTCGTAGGAAACGGGGGGGGGGGGGGGACACGGGGGCCCCCAATAATTTTGCCGATATATAGAGTACTACAGAAAACATAGCTTCTATATGCTTTTTTTGGTAGCCCCCCCCCCCTCCCCAACTGAAAATGTTTGCTTGCCCCCCCCCCCCCCCCAAACTGAAATTGCTTCCTATGGGTCTGCTTCATTTGACATAATCTTTGTTCACCCATGTAAATAAGTCAATGTTATTGCCGCAGTACTAAACAGATATAATTTAAAACCTCTCCTAGTCTGTGGAAATTGTATTTCAACAGAGGGTGACAAACGCTTCCTATCATAGAATATTTGATGCATAATAATCATCTAGGATTTTTTATTATAAGTTTCTAAAAACTAATAGTTGAATCAGATTTCTTGAAAAAGAAACGATGAAATCCACATCAAGAAAATATGTTTTAATAGTATGAATTAATCCGATTAATTTTTCGTAACCTTTTTTTTTAATTTATAAATATTAAATACTTTGCTGTTGCAGTCAAAAGTTCTAAATTTTCTGTTCTCCCGAACGCAGATTGAGGTGGAAATTGAACTTTGGACAGAAGAAAAAAATTAAGTTCCCAATTCCTCGATATTCATAAAAAAAATTCCTAAGTTTTACCAACTGCTTAACTCTTTCTTCTAATAAATAAGGATTTGGGATTTTACTTTTGTTCTACTTTGATGATCTAATTTTAAGCACTGTTTACTAACTTTAAGAGATCATTACAATGTAAAGTTCATTCTAGTGATGCTTGGACTGTCGTGAATGGAATAGGATTTGTTGTGTCTTTTCTGGGCCCTTTACATGTTTTTATTTTATGACTACTCTGAGGAACATGGAGGAAAACATTAATTTTTGCTATGGCTAATTGTGACGTTGGAGGGTGTTTGCTTATTATTTTTGACGTCACAATTATACAGACTTCACAACCAAACATAGGCCGATCGAGCGAAGAAAGTGAGTAGATTATTGTTCCTACGTATCTTAAAACTTTTTGTTGTTGCTGCTGTTGTTTTTGTTGCTAAATGTAAGAGTTCGGTGTTGGAATAGACAGTAATAAATACGTAGATAATTATCCAGCATTCGACAATTTAAAAAAAAAATGGAAATCTTGAAAAAAGCAATTGAATTCGCAGAGTTGATCTTCTGGTACGCATCTGCATATTTATAAAAAAAAAAAAAAATATCTGTATTTGCCATTATATATCCATTTAGTACATTATGTTTGAATATCAACTCATAAAAAGGGTTATTTAATATTCAACCTTGTAATTTTTAAAGTTACCTTTATTTGTAAATCAAGGATTTAATTGATATTAATGCAGCATTGTTACATAGAACTTAAAATTCATCATCGTCGCAAGCCACGGGTTTTGTGTACTTTCAATTTCCACAAAATTGTGGAAATAAAATGGACAAAAAACCCGTGGCTTGTGACGATGAGAATTCATTGACGTTACCAGAATTTAATGACTGAAAGAATTGAAAAATTTCACCCCAAGAATCCCTCCCCCTCCCCCTCCCCCAGAATAATTAAAACAAAAAAATCTTTATTGTCCTAATTCCATTATTGCCATTATTACACGAATCAGTCTTAAAAAACCTTCCTATCATATTTCATGTTGGATGTATTTAGAAAAATGTTCATAACTTTTTCTTTAATTCTGACGTCATAATTACATTATCACGAGATCAAACGTCACAAACAGTATGACGTAACAATCATCACTACAACAAAACAAACAGTGTTGAGCTTAGAAGTAGAAGGTAATTTTAATCCAGAGCGTAGCTATTAGTCTTCTTGTCAATATTCTTTTTAGATGATATACATGTATTTCATTACTATCTACATCATGTAATTTCATATTTCTGATAAATGTATTTGTTTCTTCTTTCTGTAGCAAGCAATCATGGATATGGATGAGATTTTAGATTTTGGGGAGGATGCTGTCACAGATGTTGTAAGTGGGCATTCATACAAATATTAACTAAACTGATTTAGATTTCTTGTAAAATTTAGATCTACGCATAGTTGTAGAACGCTTTTAAGTCAATTAAAATATATATTTGATTTACATGAAAAGCTAAGTTCCAAAAAATGTACATGTACGCATAAAATATGTACTACGCTTTATCTCGGATCGAATGATCTTCATTTCTGCAAGCTTTTTATTGAAAGAGGGAGGGTATTCATTTGTAATTAATACAGGTTTTCAGAATATGTCTTTATTTTGTATCCATTCTATCACCCCTCTGCGTTTTGAATTTTAGAGATATATGTTTGTTTACCCATTAAATGATTGTTTTCAGGACTCAAAGCTGAAGATCTTAAAATTTGATTATAGTTGGGCTGATGCCGTTGAAGAGCATGAGAGGCTAAAGGAGGTAAATATACGGAGTAAAATGCGTAGTAGTTTCACTGCAAAATTTTTTTATAAGGGAAAAAAATGTCAATGATTTTTTTTATTTGAAATACAAATGATTTCAGTATTAGAATACTTGTTACATACTTTTAAATAAAGTTTATAATTAGCGTTCTACGGGGGAAAATAGAATAGAAAGTAGTTGTCCAGGTAAGTTGCAAATATGGCTATTTAAACTTTGATATTTCAGACGCAAAAGCAGCAAGAAGAAATGGAAAGAATGCTAAATAAAGAGATTACAGGAGAAGAAACTGGAAACAAAAACATTGACAAGAGCAGGTACAGATTTAATGTTGTCACTGTTTCTCAGCACTTATAGTTATTCTGACATATTTTCCGCTTTCTTATATGAAGTTCTGAGACTTCCTATAACGTTGTATTTCTCTTCGCAGAGAAGAAACAGTTCTCAATTTTGGAGATGAACCGGTTAGAGATTGGGTAAGTGCAGTCTGAGTTACACCGTGAAATTAAACGCGATTTTACATTAATAAAATCCACAACACTTCATCGGTGTGTACATATATCACATAAATGTATTCTACACATTTTCCTATGTACATGTGTTCATCTTTACCTTCAGAGAACAAAGCTCCAGATTTTAAAATTCGACTACTCCTGGGCTGAGAGGGTAGAAGAGGAGGAGAAGAGAAGAAATGAGGTATTTCAGTCTATTCAGATTTATACAGTTGACAGGTATTTTATTGGTGTCCATGTGTAATTTTGGTAGTCTCCATTATTAATCAGCATCTAGATAAAATGAACCATGTTGTATCTGTCTTACCTAATCAGAACAGGTTTTAAATGAAAACAATGAAATAAAAACAAAAATATACACTTTTAGTCTTTTATCATATTTTTTATGCTTCAATTTGTTTATAGGGAGCAAATGTTGTAGAGCGGAGTTTTAACTTGGAGAAAAACCGACTTGATCAGACTCGTAGAAGTAGACAGCAGATACATGTAAATAACTTCAGGTAAGGGACGCAATTTTGTGTAACATTCTTTGAAGTCTATGCTGCCCAAAATCTTGTGAAAGTGTGATTTTATCATAGCATCTTGTATTTTGTTGTTTTTAGATTCAAATCAATTTGTTCCTGGTAAAATTGCAATAAATTTTCATTTATTCTAATTTAAGAAATTTCATTTTTCTTATTATATATAGACACAAAAGTAAAAATTTGAAGAGAATTAAAAAAAAAAAAAAAGCTTGTTTGATAGGTAAATTTCGCGAAAAAATGTTTTTACCTGAAATAAAACCCATACAAGCTGTTTTACAAATTTCTATAACATGCTTTTTGAGTATCCTACGTCCTTAAATTTTCAGCTCTAGTTTTCGTTTTACAGAAGATCAGACGAGTCTCTTTCTCTGATATGAAATACATGTTTGTATATCTCAAAATAATCCAAAAACCGTTTTTTCCCCAATTGTTTTGTGAATCTTCAGTTTTTGTAATAAAAGGATCCGAAAGATAAACCTTATAAGGTTTAATAATAATAATGAAGAATAAAAATCCTAACCCTGTTTGGGTGTAATACAAAGAGCTATATTAATATTTTAGTGAAAGAAGACACGAAACAAAAAAGCTTGCAAACACTGCAGTAAAAAGAAGAAACTATCCTCGGAAAATAAAACAAGAGGTAACGTAAACGCCATATATGTAAATTTCTCAGATACTTTCTTTTTATTTCATGAATTTTGTTTTAAATCAAAGCTGGTATGGGAACAGATATTACAAAATTAAATGATAAAATGTTATCAATGAAAAAGAATATAGAAATACTGAGTACATGTACAGTGTACATTTACACTTATGTTTATAGGCTGTCAAACCAACATCAAAAGAACAAAAAAATAATGTGCAAAAATATAACAAGAAAGAACTTCCTAATGAGGGACAACAGAATATAAAACTCGAGGTTGTCACGAAGGACGAGAATTCAGAAGAACTGGAGTTAGCACATGTTCAAGTTGTCACTGGAGGAAAGAATTCAGAAAAGTTGGAGATAGTACATGCACAAGTTGTCACGGAGGAAAAACATTCAGAAGAGCTGATGTTAGCACCTGCACAAGTTGTCATGAAGGAAAAACATTCAGAAGAGCTGGCGTTAGCACCTGCACAGGTTGTCATGGAGGAAAAACATTCAGAGGAGCCGGAGTTAGCACCTGCACAAGTTATCACAGAGGAAAGGCATTCAGAAGAGCTGGAGTTAGCACATGCACAAGTTGTCGCAGAGGAAAGACATTCAGAAGAGCTGGAGTTAGCAAATGCACAAGTTGTCACGGAGGAAAGACATTCAGAAGAGCTGGAGTTAGCAAATGCACAAGTTGTCACGGAGGAAAGACATTCAGAAGAGCTGGAGTTAGCACATGCACAAGTTGTCACGGAGGAAACACATTCAGAAGAGCTGGAGTTAGCACCTGCACAAGTTGTCACGGAGGAAAAACATTCAGAAGAGCTGGAGTTAGTACATGCACAAGTTGTCAGAAAGGAAAAACATTCAGGAGAGCTGGAGTTAACAGTAGAGCAAAGTCCTTCAGATATCACAGATTCACTGAAAGCACCGACACAAACTACAGAGAAGAAGATAGCATATTCAGAGAGTGATGAATTTCTTAAACAAGATCACCCAGAAAATGAGACTCTATCCAGACAGGAAGCAGAGAAAAATAAGGTGGCAGTTAAGCAGAAAGTTATAGAAGATCAGAAGGAAACAGATCCAGAGAGTTGTGAGGGAGGAAGGAAACAGGAGAGTCCAGACATCAGGAAGATAACAGTTATACAAGAGGTATTAGAATTATTAATTTACAATCCTTAAATAATTATCAGCTGTAATAGGTAGAACAAAGGCAAACTAAAGGCAACTACCTAAAATTCTTCAAGGTGTTCTAAATATAATATTTCTTTGCTCTCTTTCTCAAGATAGATACATGTAATTTTATTTATCGTATTTAGAAAAGATAAATGGTTACATTTAGCAACTCTTCATTTCTTCCCCAGCTTCTGAAGGACAACAAAAGTAGTGAAGACAATAGCGATGATGATGATGATGATGATGATGATGATGATGGACTGTTTGGGCCTAGAAAACTCTTCTTATTTAGTGTAGATTATTTTAAGGTAAAAAGTTATGCTTATTAATTTCTACACCCAATTTTATTTTGTTTTCTTAATTGTGTGAATGAAAGTTTTTAATCCTTATTTTCTAAACTTTATACATTTGACTTGTTTTAGGTCGACGAAAAATTTGTCTGGTAAGAAGAAATAAGAGCCCAAGGAAGGAAAAGAAAAAGTTGTTTAAAGAGAAAATTTAAAAAAATGTGTCTGATGAAATGAAATAAATATCAATTATTTACTGAATCAAGTGTTGATGATTTATGGAATCAATGAAATACATGTATATGTAGATAACAAACAGTATTCAAGCTCAAAAGTCCATTAAACATTACAAAATAGGTGCAGAGCAAACACGGACCTCCAAAACATCAGAGGTGGGATCAAGTGCCATGGAGGAGTGAGCATCCCCTGCTGACCGGTCACACCCGCCGTGTGCTCCTTGTCATGATCGGGAAATAACAGAAAAATCCGTCGACAATTCAGTGTGTAAATAATGGCCTAACAATTAGTATAAAAAACGTCAGTCAGCATTTGACTCAATGATAAATTGTATTTGCTGACAAGGTCATTGTGTCGACCATAGAACTTACGAAATTATGACTTTAAACGAGACTGCTGATATTCTTGTTTCATCAACTTGTTTGTCAATAATTTACCTCGTTTAAGAAATTGTACGTACGTAGAGCATGCTCTTGCGTATCGAATCAACTGAGAGATATAAACCCCGTATGCAGGTGATGAAGGTTTATTGCTGCATAAGTAAGGGAAGTTGACGATTGAAAAGTTAAGGTCATCACGTTTATTATAAAGCTTGGTTGTTAGATTACCATTAACGTCTTTTTCAAGTAAAATATCCAAATATGAAACAAATGTGTCAGACTCTGTAGTATCTTTTATCTCAAGCTCACCGGGATATATCATATTGACATAAGAATGGAAATAACCATTGTTAATTGACAATACGTCGTCAATATATCTAAATGTCGGGTTGAAGGCGACAGCAAGTGTTTTCTTCTTTTCACGTATAAGATGTTGGACAAATTCTGCTTCATATGAATACAAAAAAGGTCTGCTAATAACGGGGCGCAATTGGAAATTCCAATAGATTGTTGAAAGATCTGGTCTCCAAAAACCACAAAGATATTGCCAATCAGAAACTTAAGCATCTTTTTAATGTCAACTTCAGAGTACTTGTGTGTACAATCAGAATGTTTTTTATCAAAATAATTTTCCAAATGACCAATGACAAGGTAAGTAAATTTACGAGTTCTATTTTTATTGAAAAAGCAGCTGTCAATGATATCAAAAAGCCTGGATTTTAATTTATCGTGGGGAATGGTTGTGTATAAAGTTGAAAAGTCGTAAGTTTTTAAGCTGTTGATTCTGGTAAAATCTTGTGATTTCAAATTTTCCAAAAGTTCCTTGGAATTTTTAAGTATCCACATCTGATTTACACCACTTCTCGAATATATTGTTTCACAGTACTCTTGAAGTTTCCCCTTCACTACTGTTAATATCTTAGTGAGGAGTAAAGAAAGAGGCTTGGTTGAACATTTTACTAAAACCCGCTATGTAATTTTGTAAGGATTTCTATGAAGTTTCGGAATCCAATATAGATATGGTAATTCAAATTCATTTTGGTTGTTTGGAATATTAAAAATATTCATAATTGACATATGATTTTGAAGAATTTCTTCCTTAGAAAGAGAACTATGAGTATAAGTTGGATTACCACTTGTATATTTAAATCTAAGTGCCTCTAAAATACATTTAATATAATGGGCCTTACAAACAATTAAAGACAATGCTGTTACCTAATTTGTCAGCAGGGACCAGTACGTACTACTGATCATGTAATCTATCCAATTCTTTTTTCACTTCTGGATTATTGAATACAGAAGGATAGATGGTTCTCATATTGCCCCTCAATCTTTTAATGCGCGATTTTAACATACATCTGATACATTTAATCCATTCTGACAATGTGTCAAGGTCTTCTTTTTCATGTCTGGCCCATCGCCTGGCGTAATCCTCTACAGAATCCATAATATTTATGAAATTCCGACGCCAGTTGAAGGATTGGGGTAAATTATTTACATTGTAATATAGTGTTAAAATTATTTGTTCATTCATATAGATCTAATGAAACAGGGTGGTAATTGGATAATGAATAAATGTAGAAAAATTCAATCAGAGATAATTCAGTTTACTGACGAAATTTTCTTCGATCTAAAGCCAAGGTGAAGCCACATATCTTCTGTTCATATTTTCCAAATATCTGTCAGATTTTGTGTTACGTGAACTCCCTTTTAAATGATTTTTTGGTGTGTTCTTAAGGTCAGACGTTCCTCGAATATCTGTTATGTATTTCTTTGTATAAATATTTTTAAAAAATGTTCATCATCACCATTAATTTGTGATTTTCAAACTGTTTTTAAAAATGTCTTTAAAAAGAAATACCCCCAAATTTATTAATTGCCAATTCAAGTGATTTCTAATAGGATTAACATCATCCTTTCGTATCTTGCACAAATGTCTGCTAAAGTACCTCATTTTTTTGTGAAATGTCTGACATGGTACCTCAATTTTTTGTGAGTAAACTTACTAAAAAAGTAAATAAATACTTTAGTACAAATTCTTGAGGCAAATTGTATATGAACGTGCTGTCTGACCTAACACTTCATTCACAGGCAAATTTGTTGTCCCTATGTTCTTTTCATACATGTATTTTAAGTTTTTCTACATATAATAGTTATTTTATATTTATTGAAACAACAGATATTTGATTTTGGGATCTCATAATTCAGCATTTGAAACTCGCTTGATTATCTCATTTTAAAATCAGTCCGAGATAATTCATTCTACTACTAGTACATGTATATATTTCCAATGTCAGATTTACATATGTAAGGAAATTTGAATATCGCCAACGATTTGAAGAATACTGAGTATATAGGATTTCCACTTTAAAAAAAAATTAAAGGGGGGGGGGGCACAGCCAAACACTATATAAGGTCATTCCAATTTTTTTCTGTTTAGCGTCCATCCATATATCCAAAACCTACCTACCTATTCCCAAGAAAAAAACACAGAAGCCAACATCAATAAATAAATAAAACACAAACTTTACAATCATAAAAATGACGCCATTCAAAGAATTTTATTTCATTAATCTATTTTTCTCGAAGAAAGATCTATTCTTTAGAAAAATCAAGGCAACAAATGCTTAAAATAAATCTAATACGACATATTGTACACAAAAAAGAAGAGAGAGGACAGAAATCAAAGATTTCGACCTAGAGAATCAATGTCAGAACGCCTGATTTTGTTTGTTTGTTTTTTTTCCCTGATAATGTGTGTCAAAAACCAAGGCACACACAGACGCTAAACATAGAAAAAAAAACTTGGAAGGGCCGCATAGCTCAACGGTCTATATTCAACAAAAAACCATAGCTCGCAAAAATTTTGTCTCGCTAATATATACCAAATATCTATCTCGCGAAAATAAGGTGTCGTGAAAATATAGTGATCTACAGTAATATCAACGATTAATAAAAAGTTTTTATAGTCTTAAATTTACCGCTAACTGAGTACAATGTAGTTCATGCAGCTCATATACAGATTCACCTCATGAAACAGAATATGATGCACCGTTTCATGCATGGTACACGACCACATTGCTGGTTCCCTCGGACAAACAATATCTAAGCTGATTGAAGCCATCGCTGATTTTGATGAAGACATGACCAGTGTCTTTTCAGTACTACAGTTTCTCTGAGAGATCACTGCTGCCATTTTGTTGTACTGGTTTGGTGTCAGTGAGGACTATGTCAGGATCATACTTCTTTTGAGTCCTACTTTTCTTACAACAGTTTAGTGGACTTTTTGAGAATGTTGGGGATATTGGAAAATATGCACAGCATTTCAATCGTTTCAATAACTTTGTAACTAGAGGCATGTTATATTGAACTGGTTTTCTTCTCTCCAGACTTAAGTCTAAAGTCTCCCTCCATTTTAATAGTCCACGTTCTTCTTTCGACCCTGAAACAATTTTGCAAAATGTGATACTAGTATTCAAACAGCTAATTTTTTTTCAACGCAACCTTTTAATCTTTTATACGGAATACAGAAGGACTGTAAGCTGACCTGGTACAGTATTGTCCAGAATAAAGCCGATGACCCCACCAACAAACATGGCGGTAGTAAGCAAGACCTCCAGGACCTGGTCAAGATCGTCACTTCCTGAAAGAAGAAAATATAATTCGAATACCAACAAAAAAACAAACAAACAAACAAACAAAACCACACAAACAAACAAAAAGCCAAAACAAAATAATAACACGACGGTCAAACATGAACTTAAAATTATAATTCTGATCATCTATCTTCAAAAAAAAAAATCCGCCATATCCAAATACAGAACTCTGTCTTCAAAAATTGCTGAATCTTACCAAAGATTAACATTATTCGCCTATCCACTTTTCGTGTAAAAACTTACAGCGATTTTTAGTATTTAAACGCTGCTTCACGTTAAATACAACAAAGGGATACCTAGAATGTCTCTACACTACATGAAACACTAATATTCTAACAAACAAACGTAAGGTTGACTTGATCTATTAGCTTGTTTCTTATGTAATAAAAAGATCTTTCTTTTGCCCGAAATCTGATAATTTAAACAATAAAATGCTTTCTTTGGTTGTTAGTATGGGAATTAATGTTGTAGCTGTTGCAGAATATTTTTTTTTAATTTTTTTTTAACAATAGCTGCAACATTAATTCCCATACTAACAATCAAAGAAAGACATTTTATTGTTTATATTTATATCTGTACAAATAATCATCTAAATTAGCCTTAAGTAGGATTAAGTAGATGAAATATTGTATTACGGGTATGTACGGCATTGTACGTTTCATTGATGCAAGAGCCACTGCTCAAGAAATTTATGCAGGTGATATGCTTAGTGGTGTTTACTAACTGATAAACGACAATGGTTTTCTTAAGAAATAAAGGAGAAAATATTTCAGTGGATGTAAATATTTTGTAGTTATGCTCCAGTTGACGATATTTTTGTAGTTATAGATGCAGTAATTTAAGATATTTTTGTAGTTATATTGCAAAGGAAGATGCCTTAATTTCCAAATATTTACATTTTTAATTGCTTTGTCCGAGATAAATATACAAATAAAGAAACAGTTAGCTTTATATCCTTATAAACCTATTTGCGCAGCACACGACAGAACTGCGTTTTCGATGTGTGTGGCTTAGTTTAGTACTGAGCGGACCTTGCAGACTTAGATTTCTAAGTATTGAAAAAAAAATTAACGTAAATACACATGTACATTGTATATTATTTTCTTTTTATGAATAAAGGATCAGATAAAAACGTAAATATAAGGAATAATTATCTGGGTTTTTTTTTGTTTGTTTGTTTGTTTGTTTTTTTTTTTTGTTTTTGTTTTATGATGATGTTCAGACAGTTTGCTTGCGTCATAATTTCATGCATAAACAACGCCTTCGCCTTTATGGAAATTATCACATGATAAACTGATTGATCACATCATAAAACAAAACAAAAATAAAAATAAAATAGGTTATTTCTGAAATACAGCCTGTGAACGTTCAAACTTCAGCAGGACTTTTAATTGATGAGGTAAATTTCAATACACTTTTTTAATGTTCCACTTACCAGTATTAATAGACTTTGGGTTCTGAAGTAACCACTGCGGGATCATCAGACCCAGTATCATCGACAAAGCTAGAATTGTCAGATTTCTGGTAGATGACATGTCCATAAACTGAAGCACGGAAATCCCAACTGCTCCCACCATCCCAAACACTACCGTCAGAGTCCCACCTATAATGGGATCTGGGATCAGTGTCAGTACCGCCCCGAATTTACCGATAATGCCACTCAGGAGAAGGACAATCCCAGCCACTTGAAAAACACGCCTACTCGCAACCTGCCAAATTAAAGTATTACAAGTAAACTTTTTTAAATACTTGTACCTACAATATATTTATGATTGCATTTCAGCGCTAAACAATACCAAACTTTCAGAAAAAAGCTTCTGAAATAGATATCGGAATAAATGTATTGTATATTATTAGTTACCAGGCGCGTAGCTGCCTATACGCAAATACGCAAGTGCGTACACATCATTTTCAGAAAAAAAAAGATAAGAAAAAAGAGAGAATTATTCGGAGAAAAAAATCTCAGTACCATCCAACAAATATTCGTGTTTCAAATTAATCTGTGTCATACTGTGTCGATTTAAATTTTAAATTATTATGGCTGTATGATAAAATTTGAAATCTTTAATTTAATAACTGCCAAATCCAAATAAATCATTCATTATTTTGTCATTGTTCTGTCATACATTGATATTTTTTTCAAAGATCTTTGAAAAATTAAATTTCAGTCACATCGTTGAATGCTATGATCTACTAGTATGATTTGCAATACGATATTTTTTTGTTCATAATTAAAATTTTGTATACGTGTTTTTAAACGTTACGAATGATTATATATGAATATGATACCAATTAATAAATCGGTAAAATTTTTAGCCTCAATTATATGTACAATAAGTTTCCATGGAATATTAATTTTCGTTAAAACAATAAATATTACTATGTCTTTTATTTCCTAAACAAAAACTAAATGGCATAATTTTTATATTTCAAGAAAATGAATGAAATATTTGGTAAACCTCCGGAGCTTCTGGGCCCTCACCAGCAAGCACGTAGTATCAGGGGAGCTACTTATTCCCAAAACCTAACCTTTTACTATTGAAAATGAACACTGAAAGGGTGGACCCCCACTGTTTGTTGCACCATTGTTAAATCATGGTAATTTGGTAATGTATTAATAAAAATTTGGTTTGTGAAAGATGGACACCCCCTCCCCCCCCCTCCCTTTCAACAAACACACACACACACACACACAAGAAATAGAACTTCGAATTTTGACAATCTTCCTTTTTCGTCCTTGCTTGATAAAATTTTTAAAGTTGTAATTTTTTCCTTGCTGGCAAAAGCTATATTACGTGCCTGACCAGAGCCCTTAAACACTGAGGGGAGGAAGCTCAAGACTGCCCCCACCCAACCCCCTGCCGTTCTCTGCGTACACATCATTTCTATCCTGGCTACGCTCCTGGTTACACAGTCAGTTAGGGACCTAATACGGAGTCATACAGGGTGTGAAATTGAAATCCGTATTGGGCGAGGCGAAGCCGAACAATATGCTATTTCGTTTAAACAGATATTCCCCATCAATTCTTGTGGATTAATGAAGGCACTATGCACTCATATTCTTTTTTCATATTATGATTTTTTTATCATACTGCCAGAAACATTTTACATTTCCAGTGCATACCTTTGTTATTCCAATAGCTCCAATATTTCCACTGTATGAAGTGGTAGGATGCCCTGCTCCAACCATACCGGAAATGATGCTAGCAAATCCTTCAGTGGCTATTCCACGGTTGACTGCATGAGGCGGTGGTGCCTCGGCATTTGACAGCCGAGCGGCGGCAAAATAATCTCCCACGGACTCGATAATAGATGATATAGTGGCGGCAAGCATTCCTGCAAATCCTGCCACCGAAGCCGTGGGTATGCCGAACTGAACTAGTGAAACAAAATAATTAAAGCTTTGGTTATTTAGAAATTTGAGCCGATCAATGTGGAAATCGATCAAGTTGCTGTTGAGGGATTTCAACCATTCTATCCTCTCAGATCATATAAAATATATTGCAGAATTAATTATAAATACAATTTAAAAGGTACAAATGTAATCAAAATGTGCAAATATTATTTGCATTTATAACAAATTTCTTAGATACGTACATGGATATGGGAAATAGAACCACGGCATGGTTTTGAGTACGTCTAGCCTGGCGTCTGTACGCGCGAGATTGGTGCTGGATTTGTTTTGGATGACAATTTTTGGAGGAAGGACGTCCGTGACTGTAAGAATATAACTAAGCAGCCAACAGATGGCGACACTGAGAATCACCTACAAGGATAGCGGAGATAGAGGCTAAAAAATCATTACCAGATCAATCACACTGCTATAAAAAGTACATGTATTGGTGACATAGCTCAGGTTAAAGGAATGTTTAAAAAGTTTTAAACTCATGCAATGGACTATAATATTTATAATCCAGGAAAAAAACCACTCACTGGCATAAGCTGGAAGATTGGGTATCTTGTTATGTGGCATTTTTTGGCTTTTGAAAAACTTGGTAAAGGAATTTTGAGGCGGCCCAGGTATAAACTGAATACTGCAATCAGCACCAACGTTCTGATAAGAAAATTAAACAAGCTGCTTCAATTGAAAATGACTAACAAAGATTAATAATTCTTATATTTGCTTTAGGGGTCAACCTCAACGCAAAATTGCACAATATATTATAATTATGTTATTATATATTTCAATGACACGTAATGCTATAGGAAGTAACCAGATTTTATCTGAACTTTGACCTTGATTACCCTTGACCTAGCATTCAATTTTGCAGAATATTATTCTATCATGTATAGTTCAAAACAAAATGACTGATGCTATACTTGAGTATTCAAACATTTAGATATACATGCACACTTACAGCATGGCTATTCCCCAGTGGTACTTGTTGATATCGGCTGCTACACCTGTTAGAGAAAGGCCTATCAAAGAAATAGTAGGAGCTATGGTGAGGGGGCCAATGAACTTAAGGAAAAACCCCATCAGGCCGGTACATCCCAAGACAAGCTGAATAACAGAGGCCAACATCAAATTGCCTTGAATCTGTCAATCAAAATTTTGTCTGAAGTAACACAGATATCTGATTGAGGAGGTGTATATCTGATTGAAGAGAAAAGAGATCTTACTGAGAAAAAAAAAACATTTGATATCTAAGTGAGGAGAGCTGATATCTGAAGGAATAGTAAAAGTTCTTATTTAAATCACCTGATATCTGAGTGAGAAGAGTAGATATCTGAGTAAAAACGTTCTCAATAACATCAGCAGATATCTGAGGGGCGTAGATATCTAATTGTATAGGGCAGAGGTTTCAATGCAGACTTAGATATCTGATTGTATAGGGCAGAGGTTTCAATGCAGATTTAGATATCTGATTGTATAGGGCAGAGGTTTCAATGCAGACTTAGATATCTGATTGTATAGGGCAGAGGTTTCAATGCAGACTTAGATATCTGATTGTATAGGGCAGAGGTTTCAATGCAGACTTAGATATCTTAAAAAGAGTTCTGTCTCTGAAACGTCTGGATAAAAGATATCTTAATTGAGAAACTGCATGATTTTTGTGGGCAAGTAACCATAAAAAAGAAAATTCCTTTCTGAAGTTGCAGTAAGTTACAAACTGACATACCCTGGATTTACTGCTGAGTAATCAATAATAATTTCTTCCAGTAAAAAAAATGTTACCTCGCGCATTCTTTTCTGCCAAATGTCGTCTCTGTCGATGATTGTGGAATTGTAATTCAATTCTGAAATACACGTATATGAAGTGTAGTGGTCCTTAAAAAGTTCATATACTATTTTAGGAATGACTCTAATTCTTGGCCAAATTATTCGAGTATAACCTGGTTTGGGTCAGTTTACGCTTTATAATCCGCGAAGCGGATTATAAAACAGCGTAAACTGACCCAAACCAGGTTATACTCGAATAATTTGGCCAAGAATTAGAGTCATTCCTTATAATTTAATTCTAAAATCATTAAACAACTGTGGGTGTAAAATTTCGTTGCTTTTTATTAGTTCAAATTTGCCGCTCAATAATACAACCCTAGTAACGGAAGTGATGGGAAGCGAGGGGAGGTAAAAACTGATACATAGTCAGAGCAGCCATGTTGTTTGTTTACATGTGGTAAGATCCAAGTTACTGTTTGAAGTTAAAGGTACATTTATTAAATCTGGAATTTTCCATGAATCCCGAGGACTGGAAATGAGAGGATTGCATGGATACAGACGATTCAGCTGGTTGTCAGGGGGGTGTGTCCCCATACCAAACCAGGTTATACAGAAATAATTTAATTTTGTTTGTATTCTAGCCTCTGATTGGTTAATATCCAAAAAGGAACACAAATTATTTCTGTATAACCTGGTTTGGTATGGGGACACACCCCCCTGACAACCAGCTGAATCGTCTGTATCCATGCAATGCTCTCATTTCCAGTCCTCGGGATTCATGGAAAATTCCAGATTTAATAAATGTACCTTTAGCTTCAAACAGTAACTCGGATCTTACCACATGCAAACAAAAAACATGGCTGCTAGGACTATGTATCAGTTTTTACCTCCCCTTGCTTCCCATCACTTCCTTTACTAGGGTTGTATTATTGAGCGGCAAATTTGAACTAATAAAAAGCAACGAAATTTTACACCCACAGTTGTTTAATGATTTTAGAATTAAATTATAAGGAATGACTCTAATTCTTGGCCAAATTATTCGAGTATAACCTGGTTTGGGTCAGTTTACGCTGTTTTATAATCCGCTTCGCGGATTATAAAGCGTAAACTGACCCAAACCAGGTTATACTCGAATAATTTGGTCAAGAATTAGAGTCATTCCTAAAATAATTTGTGTTCCTTTTTGGATATTAACCAATCAGAGGCTAGAATACAAACAAAATTAAATTATTTATCTGTAAACTACACAACTTCTTCAAAGGTTTGGTAATTATTACGTTTTTGTATGTTTTTTGTGGAAACTGGGATATATCTTTCCTAAATCTTTAGGACTTTTTTCTAATTTAGGTATTTCTTTTTTAAAATTCATCATCATACTTAGAGAGAAGGGGTTTAAAAATATCAATGTCCGTGAATTCAGTAGCAAATGTAACTGACATTACAAAACTATTGAGGGTATGAGAAAAGCCCAAAAGTTTATGGTTGATTTCGGTAACTTACCGTCAACATTTAGCTCTTGCTCTGTGCACTTCCATTTGTCTAGCGCCATCATAGCTATAATTGGGGCGATAAAATTGTGGGATCCACCCTGTATGATCCCTAGTCTGAAAAACGAAGAATTACATTATCGCTGTAAGCAACATATATTGTTCACTGTCATCATACACACTACACACAAGTTTTTGCTCATCAAATAAAAAAAAAAACCATAAACAAAAAAGAACAAAACAAAACAACAACAAAAAAAAAAAACAACCAAAATTAAAACACACACACACACAAATAAAAACAAAAACCTGTTCTGTCAAATAAACAAACAAAAACAACACCAAATATTCCAAAAAAAAGAAAACAAACAAAAAAGGAAGAGGATAACATTAGCCATTGCATTTTCCTGTCCAAAAAAGTTACAAGTCATATCACTGAACTTTTGTTAAATGGACTATTTTGTATTGCTCTCTTTATGCTGTCTTGGCGTTGTGTTATATTTGTGTGCAAGTTTTACATGAATGCCTGGGACATTTTCACAGCTTTCAAGGAGCACAGATACGCGTTTTTAAATTTATGTGCATTCCTTGTGTTAAAGGTGCATTGCTATTTTGTTTACAGTTTTAAATTCAGTTTAACGAACAATTCTTAAAATTCAATGATAACAGCATTCATTATAAAATTTCATCAAACATCTGTGTTGGGCACGAGCTCTGTTGCTGTAAATAATAATGTATACGTTTTACCGGGTGTGTTCGATTTACTTACTATACACACATAAAACTGAACACGACTTATCTGGTGTGTTAGTTTTGCTTTTTAACACATTTCTGTTCTGATTTTTCTAGGTTACAGCTGAACATCTTTTATTACATTTTCAACAGAGAGAGTAAATAAAACCATCCTGACAGAAACTAAAACTGCCAAGTTTCCAAATATATTTATGTTGTTCAAATCCATATTTACAATGTAATCACTGTCACTGTAGCTCAGTCGGTAGAACTCTTGCTGCGTGATCGAAAAGTCATGGGTTCAAACCCCGGCCGCGACTGACCTTAGCTGCAGATTTGTAGCTCGCTGGTCTGGATAAAAAAAACTGGGATGGACGACGATGGTCGTCTATCCCAATTTTTTTCAGACCAGCGAGCTACAGATCTGCAGCTAGACTGAACTAAGTTAATAAAGGACTGTTCATTCACCAAGCGCTCGGCACTCTGACGTGAAGTGATCGAAAGTCCACTTCAGGGCAAATCTTTTCAATTTCACGCGACTATCTTTGCAGTGCTGTAAACCAATCGTTACTATATATATACCAAACAGCATAAATTTTGATAAGAGACAGATTTACATGTAAGTGGCATTTGGTGCTATAGTTTTGAGTTCAACCAAGGGCAAAGTATTTTATTGATACAAATTCAGAAGTAGTAGATAGATCCAGCAGATTTAAATATGACCCCTTATCACGTATTGAAGTTGGAAATGTCGGACCTAATCATATATATTTTTCTGATAAAATGAAAAACACAACGCTATATATGGAGAGTTCCCGGATCATTTGACTTTACTTGTCTCATGTTGGGATGGACTTCGTTTGGGGATGAGAAAGTTTGAATGACGCCAGGTGCCTGCTGGGTTAGTCAAGTTAGCTACATGTACATGTAGTAAGCTTTTAAAATGGAAATAAAAGATTTAAAGCGTCTCCCTTTAAGGAATCAAATTTCGTCATGGCAGTTAACTTATATTGGTATACATGTAGGTCTGATTATACGGTATGTTTTCGGTCATGGCTAAGAGAAGGGCAAGCCACACAAGAAGAAGTAGATGTACCTGACACCGAACGTTGTTTGTAGAAGGGTCGCCACGCCACACATAAACATGGAAATACACAGGAGCTGGGCGCGAGCGTCAGAGTTTGTGCTGGCACATAGCTGAATGGTTAAAATGAAGGGAATAGACAGTGTGCTTCCCAAAGCCAGAATAGCTTGCTACAAATAAAAAAGAGGAACATTATGTCAGAATAATATACATTGTCATAAAGAAGAAAACTTTGATGAGACTGTTACTCGAGGTCTACTGGTGTGCACATGCATATAATAAGGAAATATGTATCTAAGTATATCTTAGTATAGTCTCCTTGTGTAAAAAAAAGTCTAATCAGACCAAATCTATAGGATGAGTAGCGTTTTACAAGAATTTAAAGTATTTTCTATTCTTAGTAACCATGGCATTTCCGTTTGTCGAAATCAAAAACCTATGAAAAGAATTAGTACCTTGGTATAGTTTACGTGTGTACCAAGTCTTATTGAAATTTGACCAAAACTGTAGGAGGAGTAGCGTTTTGAAAATTGTTTATAGATAGACAGACAGATAAAAACCAAATCTTCTCAACTTGAAATGCTGATTTTCATGGAAAAAACTACAAATGCACATATCAAATATTATAAACCTCCCTTGATCATAATGGTTTGAATAACATGGAATTTTTTCACTTAATTCAATTAATAAGCTTTCAATTTCTCGTATAAAAGATTTTAAGAGGTATAATTTAATAAACTTTCCAAAGCAAAGTAAAAATTCTGTACATGTATTTTTGAACAAAACACTGGATACAACTTTTTTTTGTGTATTGGAAATATTTTTAATCCTACGAATTTCGCATCCTATACTTTCAAAAAATAGCCATAGGGACCCATTGCTCTGGCCTAACAAAAGCAGGTTTTTATAATATTGCATCGGTATCCGTGGAGAAGCTCTGACTGCTTGTTTAAATTTGAAGTCGGGCTGGAAAATCTCGTAGTTTTGAGCACAGCCTATTTTTGTTGCTGAGTTTCCTTAACAGAACTTTGAATGTTAATCTTATTTGTTCCTTATTACATTATACTGTACCCTTGTGAATTCATACTATAATTATTAAACATTTTGACCTCATTTCTTAAGTGTATTGATCATTGGTTATCACGCAGGCACATAAACAACTTCTCAACAAAGTAATGGAATTGACAACCATTTTGGGGAGTGGGGTGGGAGTGAAGCTTTAGCCATGAAAAATACATAGTGTAATATTTCTTATTTACATTTTGAATTGCAGTGTTTCACAAACATTCTTGTGTTTTTGCGTTATAATGGTTCATAAAGCTTTCAAAAACATGGTATTGTAGCTGTAGATAATCTAAATATCAGCAGGGTCTACAAAAGGTTTCAAATCTTTTTGCCTTTCGAAATGTACTTTTTGAACTGAAAGATGAAATCTGATACGTATTGACCAAATGCACAATAAATCTCGACTAATTTGGGTGGTGACACTTTGTAAATTTACAGCCTTGTGATTGTTTGTTTGTTTGTTTTCTTGCAATCGCATATTATTTGTTATTTACTGAGGGAAAATAGGTACATCTGTACGAAATTTTATTACACAAAAGGTACATCTCACCTAGATATATATACGTTATGACAAGGCAATTGTCTACCTCTTTCAATCAAAATCTCAAATTACCCCCCAGGCACTGTTAATGACGCTTGATATAATTTCAAAAGTATACATGTTTTTCTTTTCTTGCAAGCTTCACTTTTAATTAATGCCTATATTCAATCCAGTCTTTCAGTTTTTATAGTTTTCTTTTCTAAATGTTAATTGACAAAATGAACTGTTGAACTTTCCCCGACTTTTACTACATATTTTTATTCCTTACATTTAATACCCTACTGAAGAAAATAGAAACATAAAGAGATCCTACGGAAAAAGGTAAATTATCTTTCGCTAAACGAAAAAAATTCACAGTAAGTTTTTTTTCTTCATATTTACCTGCAATGCAAATACGAAAGTGAGAAGGGGAGGGGGAGTGTCCTCCACACTGTAAACGATCCGCTCCTCTCGATCCCCATTACTCCTCGTTACTCGTCTGTCTCCCTGTCCTTCCTCTTCCTCCATTTTTCCCCTGTTATATGTACAAAGTGGAGATTTAAGCATTTCCTCACTCATATCAAACACTTTGAAATGCAAATTAGCATGTACAGCAAATATTTGGCCCTCTTGATAAAAATGACCAAGTACACGACGTTAAGACAATATACGTGTATATAGCTCTGTATGGTCAGTGTTACCGTCCTGGGGGAGATTGCTCACCTCACCGGCTGCCCTCTTTTGTGTTAAACTGTTTGATAAAGTTATCTATTCAAAAGAAATTCTTTGAGGCATACAATGTATTGTAAAACAGAGCTAAAATAAACACGAACACAAACTGGAAAGAAGACTTCAGAATGGGGGATCATATGTAGATCGAGATGGAACCTTTTTTTCTCTTACAACAATTTGAATTGTGAAAATTTGCAAGACGAACAAAAACATACATTTTCCGAGTTTTATGATTTTTTAAACTACTAATATTAAGGTATTCGTGTAAATTCATTAATTCACTAATTGTCAATTATAGTATATATAATTTCGAAACATGGTACTTCATACACCATATAATAGTATAAGGGTAGAAGAGATAGAGAATTTTATTTCTTCGTCATTTTTTTTTTTAAATCAAGTAGACCGTATTAAGTTTTCCTTCCTCATATATTTAAGTATTGAGGAAGGACAACACTCTAAGTACATCGATTTGTAATTTTTCCACTTGATTGTTAATACCAGCTGTATGGGGATAATACTGTGCTGTTCTAGACTCCCGCGGTCGAAGTTGGTATTTTTTAAGGGACAAGATAGCAGTGTTATAAACAGTCAGTAAAAACAACAACAGATTTATATATAGAAGTCATAAGTTCAACACTGTTCGTTAAGAGACTTGACTTCCTTTGTTTGTAGAAAAATAATTTCATGTTTGTTGACAGTTTTTTTTAAAGCCCTACTGTCTTCAATCAGTTTTTCCCCAATATTTTGTGCTTAAAAATTGTTCTTTTGTCTGTCTGGAATAAAACAGTTCGGTTTGAAACATATATATGTATACTGTTGAATTATTAAAATTCGTGGGACCATTTTTCGTGGATTGCTTAAATTTTGCAGGTTTGAGGGGGCGTAATTTCGTTATTCTCTTATACCTACAAAAGGAAATATGACTTTGTAACCATAGTTAATGAATTCGGGGAGGATGTTATTTCGTAGATGAGAGGTATCCACGAAAATTGAGTCACTATGAAATCAAATGACTCCACAGTATATACATGTATATCTTCACAGTTTTCTTTTAATAAATTCAGTAAGTAAGAAGTAAGACACATAGTATCGATTTTGAAAGGGGGCAGCCAGAAAAAAATTACAACTTACAATAACATGTATGTACCTGAAGAAAACTTTGACAAGCAAAATACATATACATGTAAACAGAATATACCATTTTATGCATGGGACATGAAAAATCAAATCACCTTTGCAACTGAGTTGAATTGAAACCGTGTGTTTGTTTTGTTCAAGATCTATTCAAAACCGTAAAAAATATGGGTCCTATATCAATTACTGTGATGGACGAACATAAAATTCAGTCATAGATTACGTAAAAGTTTGGCATGAAATTGAGTTAGCCTTGTGTGTGGAAGGTCGAGAATTCGATTCATGGCCGGGTCAAACGACGTTCATCATTCATTAAGGATTTTCAAACTCCAATCTCCAATCTCACTATAAGACCCATCAAACACTAGACTTTCATGTTTTGAAAAGTCAAATTTAAGGGTCTTTCTGGGGAGTCCTGAAAGAGGGGACCCCGTATACATATCATTTCATAGACAAAGAGGCCTGGACACAGTTGCATTGTCGTTTTTGTATACAATTTTAAATTTCTATTTTTATTCAAAAACTAACTTTAGTTTTATGAATTGAACTTACTTTAAATTTTTTAAAATTCATTGACAAAAACATTCTTCATAACATCACGTCAAACACCTGTTTGTAAACAGGACACAAGCTCTGTTATTGTTAATGTTTACGTCTTACTGGGTGTGTTCAATTTGTTTACTCAGCCCACATCACTGAGCACAGACTGACAATATACTAGTGAGTTTGTTTTGCATTCTTACCTTTCTATTCTGAATTTCCTGGTTTATAATTTTAATATCTTTTCCTTAATACGCAACAAATTTTTCCACTTTTCTTATATTAAGGATAAAATTACTTCATAAAAGTGTGACAATAAAACGCGTCCCGAAATTCATAGTTTTAATAGATTCCAGATAAAAGAAGTTTCTATAAACAAGCTTTTATAAAATTTTCGTGTGAAATGCTCAAGCAACATATTATACTGAAAATTTTTGAAAATATTAACTTCAAATCTGTGTCCAGGCCCCTTTATCCATAGAATAGATTTACGGTATACTGGATATTTCATCTTTATTTTTTTTCAATATGAGTGAAAATCTTCTTACTGCTGCGCGTCACATCTTTATAAGAAAATTTGGAAGGAAGGGGCTTTTCGTTTTCCCCGCTTTTCTTTCAATAAAACTTTTAAAAACGACAACAGTAAATTTGAAATAAAAATATACATACTCAGTGCACATACATGCTTTAATATATTGTTGACAAGCATTCTGAGAGTATTGCATCAGCAATACTAGTCCCCTACCGGCAAGTGTAATCTGTAGGGCTGGGACGATACAACTTTTTCTATATCGATACGTATCCCGATATTTGAGCCACGATACGATATGTATCACGATATGTTTAATTGGTTATAAATTCTTTTTTTATATTGAAATGAACAAAACATTTCTTCACAAATAAGAATAATTTATTCAAAGAAGTTGCATATCTGTTGTAAAACTTAATTATTTTGCACAAGTGGTCTTAATTATTATGTATTTCATATTTATATTTATATTAAGCATATTTATTTTATATATTAAACCCAAAATGTTAAGTAAACAAAGAAAAACATAAGTCAGAATTTTTTGGGCGATATGTCGATATTTCTTCATACGTATCGATATGCGTATCATCCTCACATTGAATCGATATTATCGATATCTCGATATATCGTCCCAGCCCTAGTAATCTGGCTCCCGTTAAAAATTGAAAATGCCATAATTCCGTCAAAAATCATTGAAGCGGAACGAAATGCAAACTTGATCTATAACTAATCATGGTAAAGTCACATACCAAAAATTAGCTCAATATCTGCAAGCGTTTAGAAAAAAATAGCGGAAAACCATTAAAAATTGAAAAGGTCGTAATTCCGTCAAATATCAATGAAGCGGAACGAAATGCAAACTTGATCTGTAACTCATCAAGATACATCCACATACCAAAATCGGCTCAATATCTGCAAGCGTTTAGGAAAAAAAGTGCGGAAAACCAAGTGGGACAGACTGACAGACAGACAGAGGGACACACAGACAGACAGACAGACAGACGGACGGACAGACTCAGAGGAAACCTATAGTCCCCTCCGGTTTTACTGGTAGGGGACTAATAAAACCATGAGATTTACAGTTTACTTCATTTGGACACTCTCTCACTGTTCCAAGGATTTTGCGCCTCAGTGGGGGGAAATTTCACTTCTTCCCGTTATTTGCCGATTTTTAATATTATTCTGTCATCATTGATTTTTATAAATATTCTGTCATCATTGAAACAAGTTATGTTTTTAAAGAATTGCTGTCTGCCATATGCCATGAAAATTTTTATTGAAAAATCTCATGAAAAATCAATATGCTACTTATATAATTTAAAAGAAAGTTAATATTTTTAAAATTGACCTACCTTATCAGAAGAGTCCCTCGGCAATCCTTTTCTTAAAAATCGTCTTAATTGTCATCGATGTACATGTATAATACTTTATGGGTGTTGACTGCGCAGTAATCTATCGTAAACTAATCGAATGACACGAATAAGTTTGAGTTGTGAGTTTTAAATTACCGGATACCACAACAGTGAATATGCTAATATTTATCAGTCTTCAGAGATCTACTACTTTGCACACGTTTTAAATAAAAATTGAGGAAAGAACCCGGAAGCTTATTACTAATGAAATAGAAAAAAACAGGTTGTAAATTTTTATCTTACTTTCATATACGGTAAAATTACATAAAACATAAACGTCTTCCGTCCAGCATATTTTCTGATTAAAAAAAAATTGATACCGGTATTTGTCTCTATACGAAGAGTTAATGAATAAATTTTATCAAGGAGGTTGGATCCTGCTAACAAAAGTTTTCAGAATTTCTGCAAGTATATTTTTAGTATCAACACACATACTTAAATTAAAATCCAAGCCGAAGATAAGAGCAAATATGCTTATTTTGGTGCTATGGCGCATTTAATATAAACTTTTGTTTAAGTACTGTAAATACTTCGAAATAGAAAAAAGTGATAATGTTCTTCTAAAAAAAAAACTTCCTCCACAAAACATAGTTCCTAACTTCATGCTCTTTGTATGAAAATTAATCGTGGGTTTTTAATTGAATATAGTTGAATCCAAATTTGTTGTAAGAACTAAAATATGATGCAGAGTTTTAGAAGTAGAGCTCCAGAAAAATCAGCTGAAAGGCTCAGGATCGAACCTCACTACCTTGGGGTATATAAGAATATCAGTGACCCTAGTCTATTTTTATGTTCCTTTGTTACTGTTTCCCGTAGTGACCAGACCAAGGCGGCTGAGCTAGAGTTTTTGATGAAGTCAGACAAAAACTAGAGGTACTGTGAGCACTGAGCTCACAAAATGATACCCCTCCCCCTCTCCCATATGAGTATAATGGCAAAGGCGACTTTTTGCTAGGGAAACTCCAAATAACTGTCCAGTCAGAACATAAAATAGGGGGTGCACAATCGCACTCTGTAATAAAGATTCTGTGAACGTCTCATTTAATTTTATTTAGTTGAATAGGAGGCGTTGCGGATAAGAGATGGGTACACCCAATATCATAATAGAATGGCCAGTGTCCGTGCTTTGCTATGGAAAACCCCAAATATTTGTCTGATTAGAACATAAATAGGAGTTG